CGCCGCTGGATTTGCCCCGAAATCCTGGTCAGAACGCACCTCGGAGAGGTCCGTGGAGTTGCGGTATCCGCACCGCTTGGTTGCCCCATGACGGGGGAGGAGGAGGAGGCGGAGGAGGCGGAGGAGGAGGAGGAGGAGGAGGAGGAGGAGGAGGAGCTGGAGGAGGAAAAGTGTGTGCGACTCGAACGGCCGGCCGCGTGCTTCCGAGCTCGAAGGGGTCCCCAGGCCGAGCGAGCGCACCTCCCGATGGTGGGCACGCCCCCTGGACCGGCGGAGCGCCCTGGGCAGTGGCCTCTCGGTGGGAGCGGGCCCGGAGCACCTGGGGACCACCTCGCGGGATATGTGCTGGGGACCCCCTTGCTCTCTTTGGCCCCGGGGCCCGCTTGGGCCCTGATGACTCAAGGCGCCAGAGATGGGGGCACAGCAAACGGGGGTACGGGGAACGCCGATTTCCACGCTTGGCTAACTATGCCCCCGTTTGGGGGGCCCTGGGCGCTGTAGATGGGGGTACGGTAAACGGGGGTATATGGAAAAGCGTAAGCGCCCGTTTAGCTAAACCCCCGTTTGCGAAGCCCCGAATGACACATGGCGGAGTTGAATCAGCAGCAGCGGAGGACAGACGATTCAGATGACTGCGGCGAGTACAGGCACCGTGCCAGCTCGGCACTCGGGGTGGCGAAGCTTCGAGCACCGAAGGCCGTCACATGTGACATGGCTTGCGTCCACTTTTTAGAGGTTTTGTGTCGTCTTGGTGCTGTTTTTGGCTCCTGTGGGACAGTCTTGGGGGTCCATGGGGGATTCTTGGGACATTCTTCGGGCACCCTCAAGCCGTCTGAAGCTCCACAAGACCAACACTGGGGGAAGAGCGCTCGAAAGGAAGATCCGTCAGATATACATGTCAAATGCCGGCCGTCAAACGTGCCCAATTCCCAGCAGTTCGGATGATTGTCAGAAGAGAGCGTGCGGGTCACGAGGCGTGGGAGCATGTGTCAAGGGTGATGGAGGATGGCGAGGGGAAGAGAATGGGGATCTGGACGAGGCCAAGGGAGAGAAACAGAAGGAGGGATGATGAGGGAAGGGGGGATCGTCAGGAGGCAGACGAGACAACGGGGAGTAAGAAGAGGAGGAGGAGGCGGAGGTGAAGGAGGAGGATGTGGAGGATAATGCAAGGACGAGTATGATAATTGGGGAAGGGAAATAGTATGGACAGGAGGATGGATAATTGGCGAGGGAAGACTGTGCACGGAACAGGAATCACAGAGCAAGGATGAGGGAAAAGGGGGATGAGGGTAGGAGGGGGCAACGCGGAATGAGGAGGGCAGGGGAATATGATGAGGGGGAGAGAGCAGGACACGGGGCGACGGCGAGGAATGGGGGGGAAGGGGCACGGATGAGAACAACATGTGTGAGAAAGGAGGGATGGAGACGAGGCAGAGGAGGGATGAGGCCGCTTCCGGTGGGGGCGACGCGCGGCATCTTCGAAAACAGGCCCCGAAGCCTGTCCTTGCAGTGGCAGCAGGAGGAGGAACAGGGACGAGGGAGGAGGAGGAGGAGGAGGAGGGAGGGAGGAGAGGAGGGGAGGAGGAGGAGGAGGAGGAGGAGGAGGAGGAGGAGGAGGAGGAGGAGGAGGAGGAGGAGGAGGAGGAGAGGAGGTTGGACGAGGGGAGGAGGAAGGACGCACAGCAGCAGGAGGAGGAGGACCAGGAGGAGGAGGAGGAGGAGGAGGAGGAGGAGGAGGAGGAAGGAGGCGGAAGGAGGAGGATTAGGCAGAGGAGGCCCCGGCATCGGAGCACATGGGCGGAGCGGGACGGGCGCTCGGATGGGGTCGGCGCGCGTGCTCTCCCGCCCGTCCTTCGCTCGAGAGCCTGGGCTCTGTCTCCGGGCGCCGTCCTGCCCCGTGGCTCGCTCGCCCGCTGGCTCTCGCCTGGCTGTCCGCTTGAGGGGGGGGGGCTGTGCTCTTAAGTCGGGCCTGTCCCTCTACAGGAGGAAAACATTCAAAATAGTTAAAAGAATAGTCTGGGGACAATTTTTTACATTTTTGAGTATTTTAGTGTATGTTTTAACTATTTTTGATGTTTCGCCCCAATCTCCCTGTAGGGGGAACCGACCTAACTCTGCTCGGAGGCCGCGGCATCGCTCAGCGAGATGGGGTCACCGGGCCTCGCATGCTGGGCCTCCATCTTTTGCGGCGGCGAGCCCAACCTGTCCAATAGTTCCAGTGGTCCACGGTCCGTCCTGAGGTCGCATCGATCGCTGGAGCTCCGCCGCAGCCGCCGCCCGCACCCTCAGGTCAGGATGGGGGAGGGCGGGGAGGGACGGGGAGCGAGAGTGGGAGGGAGGAAGGGAGGGCGGCGGAGGTGAAAGAGAGGAGGGGGAGGAAGAGGGTCAAGGAGGTGGAGGAGGAATGGCGGAGGGATGAAGGAGGGAGGAGGGAGGAAGACAGGATGAGGAAGGGGCAGGGGGCAATCTGAGGATGTGAGCGAAGTGCCTGGGGAGGAGACGAGGCCCCCCATTAGCCACATCGTCTCTCCCGCACCGCACCGCCTGAGTCGGAGACAACGTCCCCCCCGTCGCCGCCGCCGCCGCCGCCGCCGTCGTCGTCGTCGTCGTCGTCGCCGCCGTCGTAGTCGTCGTCGTCGTCGTCGTCGTCGTCGTCGTCGTCGTCGTCGTCGTTGTCGTCGTCGTCGTCGTCGTCGTCGTCGTCGTCGTCGTCGTCGTCGTCGTCGTCGTCGTCGTCGCCGCCACGGCCTTCGTCGTCGTCCTCGCCGCCACGGTCACCGTCGCCGCCGTCGTCGTCGTCGCTTTCGTCGCCGCCGCGGCCGTCGTCGATTTCGTCGCCATCACGGTCGCCGTCACCGCTTCCGTCGCGACGTTGCCGCCGTCGTCGGCCTCGGAGCTCCGCTTTCGCCCCCCCTGCCGGCGAGGATCGCTGGGTTTCCAGGCGGGCCGCGCGCGGCGCGCTCTTTCTGTCCCTGCGCATCCCCGCTGGACCCCCATCGTTTTGGTCTGCCTCCTTCCAGGCTCCTCCTCCTCCTCCTCCTCCTTCCCCTCCTCGTGCTCCTCCTCTTCCTCCTCGCAGTACGGCCTGCCCCCTGCCAGCCTCTTGCGTTGGGTGCAGGAGGCTGTGGAACGCCGCCCACATGGGGCGGATCAGGGCGAAGACGCGATCTGGAGATGTAACTCGTGTCGTTTGTGCTCCGCCGCGTCTGTCGTGGACTGCTCGGCTCTGTTACTGCCACCTTTCCGAACGCATTCAGATTGTCTTGGTGCACAGGTCCTGCTTGGAAGGCCACTGCCGCCCCACAGCAGAGCGCCCCTCTTCGCCTCGGTGCTGCAGGTAAACGGCCGGCGCAGGGCGCCGTGCGAAGGGGGCCGCCCGCGGGCCTTGGGACCGGTCGAGGCCTGCGGCGTCGGGCCGCTCCGGTCGGGCGGCGCGTGCTAGCAGGCCGACCGTGATCGATGCGCTTCGGAGACAGCGGGGCCTGCGTGGCATGTACCGCGCAGCTTTGATTTCACCGGCCAGCAGAGGTCATGGTGATGAACGAGCGCGGGTTTTGAAAAAACAAAGAATTGCAAACACGATGCTTCACTCAAGGGGGAAGCGGACTCACTAGATTGCGCCGTCGAATCAACACAAGGCAAACATCATTTCGTAAGCGCAAGAAGCGGTTTACTACATTCAAAAACGGATTTTCTAAACCGGGGGCCGTACATCTAAATCCCAGACATCCTATCGCTACCATGACCTGAGTGGCTCGATCACTTCAGGACCAGAGGGTTCAGGGTCCAGGTTGCCAGGGCCTCACCCTCGGGTTCGGCCCCGTGGTCGGCCATGCCCCCGTCCCCCCGCGCCGGCCGCGCGGCCCCAGCGACGGGTCCCGGTCGAGGCGGGTATGCAGCCGCGGGCAGCGCTCCGGCCTCGTGGGTGCCGCGGGGGCGCGGCCTCCTTCGCGTTCGGGCCGCAGGGCCGAGGAGGCCAGACCAACTGATCGGCGCTTGCGTGCCACAGCGTTTTCCCTTGCGGAGCTGGGCGCCCTGGCGCGAACGGCCGAACGACCCCTGCAGCGGGGCACCTTGGCAACGCGGCTGCCGCCGCCAAAGCTATCGGCTTCACGCCGGCACCGCGCCTAGGCGCCCCCGCAAACGATAGTTCAGGCCGCAAGGCCGAGGAGACGTTACATGTTTTGCCATCGCCCGCAGGCGCTGGACGCTCACCTTTGAATGGGGGCTGCTGGGCTCCAGCTGCGGACTACGAGTGCGAGCCTGCGCAGAGGCTATTTTGCGTCGTCGTGCCCCCCGCGGGGTGCGGACGAGGAAATGTGCCGCGTCGCAGGGCGCTTTGAGGAGGCGGGGATCCATGTTGATTGGCAGCTCCGCTTCCTCAATCAGGAGATTGCGAAGGCGGGTTGCAGGGTTTCGCTGGAGCTCGAGGTGGGCCACAGGGCGTTCATACCCGTGAGAGGCATCCTGCGCAACGCTCGTGAAGGCAATGGAGGCTGTCGCCAGCAGGGCCCGGCAGGCGACCCGCCACCAAGGCGGCTGGTCCCCGTCGGCCGCTTCTTCGGACAACGACGAGAAGGCATCGCCTGTCGACACCCGCGAGACCTTCGAGGAATACTGCCTCAAAGGGCTTCCTCTTGAGAACTTGCCCAAGTCAACACGCTCAATCACATTTTCCCCGCAAGGCTCGGGGAAAGGCTGCCCACCACCCCTTCTGCCTTGGGTGTCTGGAGACTTATAGCACACCTTCGAACCGTTCCGGCGGTCTGTTCACAGCTCCGTCAGGACGGCCCGGAAAAGCCAGGAATACGCTTCGTTTGCGCACTTCGCCTCGTGTTGGTGGGGCCGCTCTCCACCCATGATCTTGCAAGCCGGGGCTGGGTCCGAGTCTCGATAGAGAGGCCGCTCCAGAGGTTCGTGGACTTGCGGCATCTGGCACGGGATGGCGACGTGACCGTGGCCGAAGGCGTAGGTCCGGGCCGAACAAAAGAGGGGGATAGGGAAAGGGGGGGTTAAGAAATCTGCTGCAGGCAGCTGGTTTCGGCCCCGCCGCCGGGCCCATTCCCCGATACATAGGCGCCTCCCGGCGCCGGGAGGCGCCGGGAACATCAGCCACGCGAGCAGCTTCTCTCACCCCCCCTTTGCTCTGCACGCCCGAAATGGGTACTGAAAGAATGGGTACGATCCCCAACAGCAGCTCTTGTTCATTCTGAACAGGACTCACTGTCCACGCCGCCGCGGCCTGTGTCCATTCGAGACAGGAGGTCGCCCGCCCAGCAGCGGCCGCTGTCGGTTTGGGACAACATTGGCTGTTGGGCACTGTGCCCATTTTTTCGGTGCCCATTTCGGGCGTCCAAGTTTGCTATCCCCCCCTCTTGCGCCCCGCCCGATAGGTGCGGGACCACGTCTCCCGGTCCAGGGCGCCTGCAGCAGCGCCGCGTCAGCGGGGCTGCCCCCCCCCTCCCCGGCGACGGCGCGAGAGCAAGGGCAGGCCCCAGGGGCAGAGGCGGTGCGCCGCAGGCGGGCGGCGTCCCAGCGCGGCCGCCCCCGCCGCAGCCCCGGCCGCTGCGGGCCTCGCCGAAGAGCGCCCGCAGGGGCAAGTTGAAGCAGCGGCGACGGCGTGGGAGCCTGGAGTCCGAGGGGCATTCTGCCCGTCGGAAGGGGGGCCGCTCGAGAGCGAGGCCGACTGTCCCGACGGGAGGCACGCCGAGAGGCAGTGCTTCCCTTCTCTGCGTATGACGTCGCTTCGGACCCAGGGCATCGTCAGTGTCCCATTTTCGCCCGCGCCCTCCCCCCCTTGCCTCTCGTTCCTCCTGCCCCTCTCCGCGCCCCTCCCCCCCGTTTTCTTGCCTGGCGCACAGCAGCCCACACGGGCGCGACGACGTCGTCTGCTCTTACCCGCCTGTCAGCCATGCCCGCGCACCCAGTGCGGTCGTCGCAGAGGGGAGGGATCCTCCAGGCGTGAGTGGCGCCGCCAGGTACCTGCGCAGTTCCAGTCCACCATTGGGAAATTGCACGTGCCTCTCGTTCGGGAGATGTTGCAAGCAGCGGGACACAGGGACGCCGCAATGCTAAATCGTCTCACGTACGGGTTCCCTGTTTCTGGGGCCGTAGACGCGGGCGGCATTGAGACACCAGTGAATCCTGTTGTAATCCACTGTGGCGGAAATTGTTGTGCAATCCGCAGCAACATGGAATAATATTGTGTTCCGCCGCAAGAAACGAAAACAACATGACAACATGAATACATAAGAGGAGAGTACAAACAACGAATTGGTACCACGCACATGCGGTTTTGTTTTATCTGCGTTACGGGGAGGGGGCAGTGAGGGGACCCGTAATGTCACGATTCGCGCCGGCGACGTCTGGGAATGCCTGGGAACAGCTAGTTCCCAGACGGCGCCAGCGCGAATCTTGACGTTTTCCAGCAATGGGGGAGAGTGGGCGTCGACAACGAGCGATATCGAGAATGACAAAAGCAATGTGTGCTTGCTCCGTTCAGTTCCGCCCATGGCACGTAACCCGTGGCGGCCCTCATGCTACCGCCCACGTTGTGCTGGCCGGCTTCTCGTTGATCAAGCGCATGTGGCCCAAACGCACGTTTTGAGGATCATGTCAGCAAAAACCGAGGGAAAGCGTCCAGACTGAAGGAAGCCGTCCTATTAGGAGGTGGGGTCTAGGGACAGCCATGCAGCGAGATGCGGGGGATATCAGCAGGAGAGTGGGAGACAGGCGAGGGTGCGTGAGAGCGCCAGCAGGCCAGAGGAGGGACTTGGACCAGCAGGGGGTGTCCGCGGTCCGGTCGTTTGGCTGCGTCGCGGTCGGTTGCGCATGTTCGGTCCAGTTCGGTCGGCAGTCGTGTCGTTGCTGCGTCGCCGCGCCGATCTGGGCTGCTTGCGGTCCGTCTCGTCCCGTCGGTTTCTGTCTCGCTCCCGGCTCGGTCGGCTTTCGTTTGTGCCGTCGCCGTGGACGGCCTTGCGGACCTGGAGTGCCCTTGAGCATGTCGCCCCAGGACCTCTCCCTGAGTTCTCCGTGCCTCCCTTTCTCTGTGGCGCCCCGCTGCCCCTCGTGCCAGTCTTCTGCCGTGCCAGATGCCCCCGTCCAGGCTCCTCCTCGTGGTCTCGCCGAGTGGAGTGCGCACCCGCAGGGAGCGGATGGCATGCGATCGCGCTGCTGGCCAGCCCGTGCTCGTGCGCCCAGATTGCCACGACGTCGACGTTAAGGTCAGGGGACCACGCTGGGCTCTGGACTCGGGCCGGACGAAAGGGGGGGACTGGGAAAGGGGGGGTTACGAACTTTGCTGCATGCAGCCGGTTTCGGCCCCACCGAGGGGCCCATGCCTCGATACACAGCCGCCTCCGGCGCCGGGAGGCGCTGGAAAAGTCAGCTACGCGAGCTGATTCTCAACCCCCCCCCTTTGCTATCCCCCCCTTTCGCCCGACCCGATGCACGGGCCCGGGGCCTTCGCGCCGCTCCTCGGACCTCGGGGGCTCACGGGGCGGCTCAGTCGTGGCCCGGTCTCTCGGTGGCCAGCAGGGACCCCCTTGCTCCTTCCTCGGCGCTCCTTCTTGCTCGAGTCGGGGATCTCCTCCTCCAGCTCCTCCTCCTCCTCCTCCTCCTCCTCCTCCTCGACTTGAGAACCGGTTCGCCCGAAAACTGATGTCCCGTCCGATCTACGAAGCCTACTTACATTCTTCTGTAGATCTACGAACCTTCGGCGCGTTTCTTGTAGACTCGGCGGGAAAGCAGCTCGGCGGGGAAAGCAATTCTGGGGTACATCGATTCTGTAGTCCACCCCCTGTTCGATTTGCAGCACGACGGCTGCATCTCGGAGTGCTCAGCCCAGCGCGGCACGCGAGTGGCTCGGGAGTCGCACGCCCCCTTCGAGGTGAAGCCGTCGAACTCCTTCGCCGTGTACCCCGTGATCACCAGCGCCGTGACGGGCCTCGGCCTCACTTGCAGGCGCGGGCCCGGTCCACCGCGCTGCGGCGGCGTCCCGGCGCGCGGGTCTCGCCGGCATGCGGTCCACCGAACGGGGTCCATGTCGATGCGACCGATCCGAGTCGATACAGTGGGGGCGCGCGCCAAGTAACCGTCTGCTTTTCGTCAGGGTATCCTGGGTTTCTTCGCTCCTCGCGCTACGCGGTGGCTTCCCGCAGCCGTTGAAAGGGCTGCTGCGTTCCGGGTGCTCCGGGTTTCCCCTCCGGTGTGCCTCGCGCGCGGGTTTTCAGGGTTGGGTTTTTTGTGCGAGGGTTGCTTGCGGCCGCGCCCGCATTGTATTCATTCTGGCCGACTTTCTCCAGTTCGAGTCCGGCATTCCAGCGCTCGGGTCGGGAGTGCGGGAAGGCCAGGCCTCCAAGAAGAAAGATGGCATAAACATGATTGTTCGTCGCTCCGCGCGGATTTCTTGGATCCGCGCTGTGGCCCCCTGGCGGCGCCTCCAGCACCGCCCCTGGCGCGCTCCGCGCGCCAGGGAGGGGGGTCCAGCGCAGGTACAAGAAATCCGCGCGGGGCGCCAGAAGTTGATGTTTATGTTTTTGTTTCTTCTTCTGAGGTCACACCCAAGGTCGGGTTGGAGCGAGAATTCCAAGGAACACATACTGTCTTTGGGCCCGTGTACGTCACGTGTTGCAATTGGGCACGGACCAAGTCAAGCGCCCCCCCAATAGCATTGCGCACAAGGTAGCAGCGGTGCAGTACAAACAATACGGCAAGTTCATCCGTGCTGTCTGGGCGAATGCGTAGGGCCTCCTTGAGGGGGCGCGTGGATTCGGTTATTCTTATCTTAGGCCACCGAGGGGGGCCACCGATGTTGTTGCGGGCGCTTGGGGGCAGCGCCCTGGGGCTCCCGCGGGGCCCCGGCGGGGTCTCTTTGGTGGTTCCACGGGGTGTGCGCTTCCGACGAGGGCCCTGCTCCGAACCGTCCGGTTCTCGGTTTCTGCCGACAGCGGCGCGTCGCACCCGTCGACGCAATCTTCGTTGTCGGGAGAGAGGCCGCCGCTCGCGCTGTCGCAGGCCAGGCCTCCCCGCTCCTTTGGCGGCCCCGAGGTGGGCGGCGCGCAAATGTCTCCAAGATGCCCCCAGGAGGGGAAAAACAACACAGACACAATTCATCGGCGATTCCCAGAACATATGGGAAAATATGGGGGATATGCTTACTTGTGTGCATTTATTTGTGTGTCCCAGTTCCCCTTCATGTCCCCCAAGATGTCCCCCCCGGAGCCGCTGGCAGGGCCCCAAGGCAGCCCCCCACGGAGGCCCCAGAGGGCCCCGCGGTCCCTCCGGGGAGAGCCCCAGCATGGCCCCACGACAGTCAGCCATGATACGGTAGGTTTGCGTCGTGTCGACCGGCGGCGACCCCAGCGCGGGCGTTCAAGGTTGAACGCCGGCGGCGACCCAGAATCGATCGATGTTGAACGATCGGACGTTGCGGCAGCGGCCGATCGTTCAAGGTTGAAGGAACCCTGCGGTGTTAAAAACCATCGCTGGGGTCGGCACGACACGAACCTGCCGTAGTGATGATGGGGCAAGTTTCCAAGGCTGCCCTTGCATCGTTGCCCCTTCGGTATTCGGCATCCTTCGGCATTCCGCTGCGCTCCGCACGGAAAACGTCAGCACGGCGTTCCAAGGCCCTTTGCATCCTTGCTGCGCATCCTTACTCTCTCCTGGTCGAGTGTTCCCCCGCAGAAGGGTCCTGAGATGGCCCCCTGAAGCCCCTAGAGGACCCCGGACGTGTGCGCCGCGAGTATTGGGTGGAGTACAAATGAAACATGGCGTGGTTCAGGGTATTCAGGCATGCGACCGCCAGTTTTCCTGGAGTGCATCAAAACAGTTTTCTCGGGCTGCCCCACCTGGCCGATCCGGCCGATCCGATCATATTAGATTCGATCCCACCATTCCGACCATCCGATGCGGCCCGATGCTTGCAAGGCGCCGTTGTGCATCCTGCGCGGCCGCTACGATTCGACTCGGACTCCATGACGTTGCGATCCGATCAGACGCAAATTCTGGTTGCATCCGATTTTCCGACCCGAGGCTGGTCGATTTTGCCGTCCGTTCCATGGCGATTTGCGAGCCTCATGGCTAGACTTGCAGGCGTGCATGAGGACGCTTCTTTAGTGCCCGTCGATGAGCTGGGTTAGAACCCCCCTTCGCTCCAGATAACCTGGCCTTGTCGGCTGCGCATGGCCGAAGCGGGGGGGCAGTGCGCAGTGCTGGTGCGCGCGGGCATAATCACGAGGGGCTGCCCAGAGCCGCAAGGTCAGGTCAGCGGCCGGCACTTCCCCGCTTCCCCGCCCCACGGGGGATACCCCACGGTGACCTCCCAAACGAATGCAAAACGATCTCCTAGTCTTGCATCCGCTGACGACATGTGTGCACCGTACCGCGTTGGCGTCTCTCGAGGCGTCGTCGATCTTGTCCCCACTGAAGCCGCATTACTGTGCAATGTGCCGCGTAGGAGCGGAGCCTGAAGGGAGCTCAAACATGGTACTGTGCATGTTAGACGAGGCTGGGACGTGGACAAATCCGTTCCAGAGCGTTCCCGAACGCGTTCGAGGCGCTCCGTAACGCTCCGCGAAGGCCGCGGCGCCGGATGCGTCCTCCAGAGCCGCCCGGATCTCGGAGGATCTCGATGTGGCCTCGCCCGAATTTAGCCTCGTCCTGGCTTCGTCTTGGCATGGGGTCCGCTCTCGTACTGCAGGCGTGCAGGGAATGATGGGCTGGTTTTCCACCACCACTACCATCAGTTGGAGGGGGGAAGGAGGTGGAGGGTGGGGAGGGAGGAGGGAGGAGGGAGGAGGAGGAGAGAGGAGGAGAGGAGAGGAGAGAGGATGACGGGGAGGCGGAGGAGTGCGGGGAGGTGGAGGGAGGAGGAGGGGAGGAGGAGGAGGAGGAGGAGGAGGAGGAGGAGGACGAGGAGGAGGAGGAGGAGGAGGAGGAGGAGGAGGAGGAGGAGGAGGACCCCCTCCCCCTTCAACGTATGGTGGTGGTGGTGGTGGAGAAGAGGCCCCGCAGGGAGTCCGAGCCGCGCCGGCGCCGCCCTCGCGGCCGAGGCGGCGCGGCCCGGCTCGCGATCCCCCCCCCCGCGCTGGCGCTGCCGCCGCCCCGGTCGTCGCCGCCGTCGCGAGCCGCCCCATTCTCGAGGGCGAGCGCCAGCGGCCGCCCGCCGCCCGAGGTTCGCGGCCTGGCTCCAGGGCTACTTCTGGAGCGTGCTGCAGGAGCGGCGGCCCAAGCGGCACGCCCTCCTCCTCTCGGGCCGGGCGAATGGGGGGGATTGGGGAAGGAAAGGTACGAAATCTGCTGCATGCAGCTGGCCAATCGTTCAAGGTGGAACGGTCCCCGCGGCGGTGTCAGGCATTTACGCCAGGGCCGACACGACACGAACCTCGGGCCGGGCGAAAGGGGGGGATTGGGAAAGGGGGGGTTACGAAATTTGCTGCATGCAGCTGGTTTCGGCCTCACCGAGGGGGCCATGCCTCGATCCATGGCCGCCTCCGGCGCCGGGAGGCGCCGGGAGAAGCAGCTGCGCGAGCTGATTCTCAGACCCCCCCTTTGCTATCCCCCCCTTTCGCCCGACCCGATCCTCCCCGCCGTCCGTCGAGCAGTGGCGAAGCGTCCTGGCGTGCTTAGAGGCCTACCAAACAATGTTCTAGGAACCTGTTGCGGTTTTCCATGAAATATTCCTAGAGCATTTTGGACTGGGGCTGTCTCGTTGTAACAAATCGGGTTTACGTTCTGAGAACATTGATTCTGTTCATTGAACACTGTTGGGTTCTAAGGACATCTCGTGGTAGGCCTACAGGGATGCAGGGACGGTCAGTCCCTGCTCAACTCCTGGCCTCCGTCTGCGGCGAGCGAGGGGGGGGGAAACGAGAGGGAGAAGGCCATCTCAGGAGGCGGCGGCGGCACTTCTCAGAGGCCCCTCTCGCCTTCTGAGAAGCTTTTTGCTGCTGTCTTCGGGGAAGGCCTCGAAGACTTCTCAACAGGCCGGGGCTCTTCCGAGCCTTTGAAAAGGCCCGCTCCTTCTCACTTTCTTCCCGCGCCCTCCTGGCCTCCGTCGAGGCCGCGCAGGCAGGTGTCCGAACGGTTCTGGCCCTTCCTGGGCCTCCCCCAGAGGACCTCCAGGGGCCTCGTGGGGCCTCCTGGGGGCTCCCGGAGGCCTCAGAAGAGCTCCAGAGGCGGGCCGCCCCAGAGAAGGGGCCCGGAGCAGAGGAGGTCGGAGAGTATGTGCCTCAAACGATGCCTCGGCGATGTGGTGCGGCCCTCCGACCCCTACATACGGCAGATTCGTGCGGCGATGGCGCACCAGCGGCCCCGGCGAAGGCGTTCCAGGTTGAATACTGATTGGCTTGTTTTCCACCACCACCACCATAGGTTGAAGGGGGAGGGGGTCCTCCTCCACCTCCTCCTCCTCGTCCTCCTCCTCGTCCTCCTACTCCTCGTCCTCCACCCCCTTCCCCCCTCCAACTTATGGTGGTGGTGGTGGTGGTGGTGGAAAACAGGGCCACCAAATACTGCGGTGCGGAAGCACCGAGGGACACGGTGACGCCGCTGGGCCCGACGGAATTCACCTCGAACGATCGGGGCCGCGATCCATTCAAGGTTGAGCGGTCGTCGCGATGTCAGAACCTTCGCGCGCGCTGCTGCCGCACGATCCATCCCGGCCCCGGTTTGGGCCACCTCCACTTGAGGGCCTTCGGTGGTTGCTCGCGTCGCCACGGCCAGACGCGGCGAGGAAGACGGCAGCATGCGAGTGATCACCACTCCGCAAATCATTCTGCCTTTGGACGTTCCACTTTGAGGCAAGCGCTGTGTCGACGTGGTGTTTCCACATAGTTTGTTCAAGGTTACACATGACTCGCAAGCCCATCCGCTTTGTAAAGAGTAGGGTTGGCTTCCGTCGGATGGCACGTAGGTTCCTGCGTTCCAAGCTTCCGAGCTGGCAGCTGAGGTTGACGTGGGGTCGAGCCTTTCTTTGTTTCAGCTCCTCCTCACACCGCCCTTTCGCGCTGCGATCTCCTCCTCCTGTCGTCCGTCGGCATCTTGTTTGTTCGCCCTCACGCGGCGACGCGATCAACCGCCGGGACGTGGGGAGGGGGGGGGAGGAGGAGCGGGCAGTCCTCCCGAGGTCCACGAGCCGAGTCGCCGGAGGGCTCCGGGGGCGCTCGCGGGGGGCCACCGCAGGGCCCAGGAGAGGCCCGCGGGGCCTCGAGGGCAGCCGCCTTCGGCCGGGGCCTCGCGCGGTTGCCTGCAGGCAGGGCCGATTCGTAGCTGGACACTGACAGTCACCCTCGTGCCCTGTGCTTCGCGACCCATGCCCTGCTGCGTTCATGCGGCAGTGTGGCCCTGGGGAGGGTCTCGTGTCCTCTCTCGTGTTCTCTCCGTCCCAACCGGACCGTCAACCTCAGACAGGAGGCAGGGCGCACCTCTGGGCTCCCCGAAGGCGCTACACTTCTGGCAGGCGCCAAAAAACCAAGTGGGGAGGCGTCGACGGTCAAGGGGTGCTGGCGGCAGTCAGCTCCATCCCCGGGCTGGCGAAGGGGGGATCTTCGATCCTCGATCCTCCTCGACACGCCATGGGGACAAGGCGTCTTGAAGAAAGCGGATCCTGATATTTTCAGTGTTTTCGGGCTTTCGGGGCCCTCCACGGGCCCCGGAAGCGTCGGACAGCGGCTCAGACTGGAGATCCCTTTCTGGGGGAAGGCCCCAGGGTCCAGACCCGTTTCCCTCTGGCCCCGTTCCCCTTATGCTGATCGATCCTCGATCTTCGATCTTCGGGCTGGCGGAGAGGGGGAGGGTCAGGACTCGCGCAGCAGGGGTCAGCGCTAACGGAGGTCAGCCAATCCCATCTGAGACCTTAAATTTGGTATCGTTTAAACGATCCCCATCCCTATACCCATCCCCTTCGAGACCCCCACCGAATTATCACCCCAGTCGGGGATACACCCCTCGAAGCCCGAAGGGAACGACTTCTACCCCCACCTAGGGGGTGAAAATCGGCCAGTGGGGCCGAGGCCACACCACTCCCTGGTAAGAGATGCTGCTTCTGTCCTGTTCGAACTTCCGAGGAGGTCGAAAGGAAGACGAATAGGAATGTTCATGCTATGCCAGTAATAACAACAACAAGAAGAAGGAGGAGGAGGAAGAGAAAGAGGGGGGGATCGGTTCAACGATACTCGTGCATGGCCGACCCGGTTTCGGGCGCCGCCCAAACAGCCGACCCCGCTATCCCCCACCCCTCTGCGCTCTCCGCCGGGAGCTACCTCGTGGCCGTCAGGGGGAAGTTCGCGGCGCGGGGCTTGTTGGCTGGCCCCGGGGCAGTGCGTCCCCGAAAGGGGGGGAGACTGCCTGAGCGGGGCCGAGGTCAGGTCGGGCCCGGCCTTCTGCAGGAGGGATGCTCAGAAGTAGTCACAGCATGGTCTGGGGACGATGTTTTGACTACTGCTGAGCACTCGTTGAGCATATATTTTGCGAGTATGTTCAACTTTTCGCCCAAGATCGCCCTGTAGGGGGGACACGCCCAGCCTAAGGCTAAGGCAGGGGCAGATCCCCTGCGACGCCTGATCTCCAGAGCCGCCGACTCTCAGAGATCCCCGATGTGGTCCCAGTTCGATGTCGTCCCTGTCGTGGCCTGGTCTCAGTTTCTGGGTCTCCCAGATGGGTTCCGAGCAGATGGGGGTCGGAGGATCACACCGCATCACCGATGCATCGGCGATGCGGCTCGGTGCGGAGCCCGATCTTCTCCCCGCGGACGTCGCTGCTGCATTGCCGATGCCACCGATGCATTGCCCATGCATCGGCAGTGCGTCGCCGATGGATCGGCGATGCGGCGAGGTCCTGCGACCCCGTGCTGCTCCGACCACATCCCGGAGGCCTCTGCAGTTTCAGCCGCTTGGGCGTGGCTTAATGGGGGGGTCACAAATGGGGGGGTCAGAAAAGGTCCCCTTTCGTGCCCCTTTCGGGCCCCTCCAGAGCCCCAGGGGGCTCGTTTAGGTACCGTTTGGGTACCTTTTCGAACCACCCTCGCCACCCCCCCATTTATGACCACCCCATTACGCAGCGCCCAAGCCGCGGCCGCCGGGGAGGAGGACTCGGCGGAGGCGGCCACCTTCACGAGCGTCAAGTCGGCAGGCGGGGCGCTCTCCGGCCCTCAGGGGCCCGCCGCGGCGCCCATGGGCGGGCGTCCGCCGCTCTCTGCGCCCTGCTCTTGGCTCGCCGCGGGCCTCGCCGCGCGTCTTTTCGCGGGCCGGGGGACGGGAGGATCGCGCCGCCCCGCCGATGCATCGTCGATGGTGGGCTCGATGTTCCCTCCCTCCCTCCCTCCCTCCCTCCCTCCCACTTCCCTCCCTCCCTCCCTCCCTCCCTCCCCGACGTCGGCGATGCGCTGCGGCGATGTGTCGCGATCCTCTGGCCCCATCTGCTCGGACCCGACGGGGAGGCCTCTGGTGGAGCAAGCTGGTCCCGATCGGACGGGGCTGGGGCGAAGACGAATCGGTTCCAGAGCGTTCCAGAACGCTTTCAGAGCGTTCCGGAACGCTGTGAGAAAGGCCGTGGCGCCCGATACGTCCTCCAGAGCCGCCATATCTCTGAGATTACCAGAATTTCATCTCGTTTCTCTCTTGTGTTGCGGCCCCACGGGGACAGCAGCAGAGGAGGAGGAGGAGGAGGAGGAGGAGGAGGAGGAGGAGGAGGAGGATCAGGAGGAGGAGGAGGAGGAGGAGGAGGAGGAGGAGGAGAAAGAGGAGGAGGAGGAGGAGGAGGAGGAGGAGGAGGAGGAGGAGGAGGAGGAGGCAGAGGGATTACCTGGATTACCGCCGTCACAAGAGTGAAAGTATTACTGCCCGAGCCCATCCAGCGCCGCTGCAAGACCGCCGGGATCTCCGCCGGGTGCAGCAGCAGCCAGCGGAAGGGCAGACATCCCTCGTGGGGGCCCGAAAGCGCCCAGCGCCGCACCGCACCGCAGGGCGTCCCGCTGGCCCCCCCATCGCTGGCGGCTGGCCGCTCCGTCCAGCACCGTACGGGTACGGCGCCGGGCGACGGGCCCGCCCTCCGCTGCCCCCTGCGTCCGCATCCCGCCAGGGAAGCCCACCATCTGCCTGCGGAGCCCGGCGAGCGACACGGAGGCAGAACTGCGTCGGCCCTGAGTCCACTGCGCCGGCTCGACCCCGGGCTCCGCAGTCTCCGCGACGCACGGCTCAGCCTCGTCCTCCTCGGCCTGCTTCGTGGCGGTCCTCGGCGTGCCCGGGCCGCGCGAGGGGCCCCGCGGGGCGGGCCGTGGCACTGCGAGAGCACGATCGCGCCACAAAGAGCAGCGCATGCGCATGCGCAGGGGCTCCGAGCCGGCAGCCTGCGGAAAGAAACGTCGGGGCGTCCTCACGCGAGCCCGAGGCAGGAGGCCGAGGGCGGGCCTGCGCCAACAGGCTTGGCGTGCATCCAAGCCTCGTGGTGAGCACGATCACCCGCTGCCTTGACTTGCAGGCTCTGCTCCAGCCACCCGTCAGGCATCTGAACGATGTTGACCACCTCCCGCAGCGCGTCGCAGAGGCGGTGACGGTGTTTACCGAGGGTGAGGTCGAGCCTCTGGTGCAGCAGCACTGCACGGCACAGCGCCTCCAGCCTCCCAGGAGCTCGGCGGCGGCCTCGGTCGGGGTGTCGATGCTGGCCATCGCCGAATGCACAGCCTCGTCCACGAGCGACTTGTCGGTCTGAAGGGCGCGCTCCTTCCTGAGGCGCCTGGCCAGACTGTTCACACTCTGCCGAGCCCAGGCCTTCCCACGTTGTGGTACGCGCTCGAGCGGCAATCAACCGCCTTGCAGGCCTCCCGCAGCCATCTCAAGGTCGCCTAAGCCAAAATGGCTACGGAGCGCGGGAGAGAGGGGGAGGGGGAACGGGAGGGGGAGGAGGAGGAGGAGGAGGAGGAGGAGGAGGAGGAGGAGGAGGAGGAGGAGGAGGAAGAGGAGCAGGACAAGTGTAAACCCAAGAGTCATCAACGATGTCGGAATACACCCTTAATCCAAGCTCCCTCATCAGAGGCCCCTACATCGGTGCATATCCACTGAGGGGAACTCCTCGTTCGAAGACAACCGTTTGAAGACCCACTTTTTGGACATCATTCCTGGTACGCTTATCATGGGAATCTGTGAAACCCTTGCAAAGTTTTTTGTTTGTTTAATGCGCGCGGCGCTAAGGCGAGAGCCACAGTTCGCAAAGGAACCGCCCTCAACCCGTGAAACTTTTGCAATTGTTTAAAGTGAACGCGCACGGCGCTAAAGCGAGAGCCACATTTTGAAAACCACCCGCCCTCAATCCGTTAAACTCTTGCACGTGTTTTGTTTAACGAATGTGCGCGGCGCTCAGGCGCGAGCCACAATTGGAAAACCACCCGCCTTCAATATGTGAAACTCTTGCGAATTGGTAAGCCAAGGGGAGAGTCACATTTTGAAAACCAGCCGTCCTCCATCTGTGAAATTGTTGTTAACGTTTAAGCTCCAGGGTCATACATGGTGAGACAGTCCCAGGCGAAACGCCCGGTCCGCCCTAAACAATGGCCTCGGGGTGCGACAGGAAGACGCTATGTATAAGGAAAAGAAACGCAGGAGGCGGAGGAGGCGGAGGAGGGGGAGGGACAAGAAGCGGGATAGGGGGAGGGGGTGGGGGAGGGGGAGGGGGAGGATGAGGTGGAGGAGGAGGAGAGGAGGGAGGAGGGAGGAGGGAGGAGGAAGAGGAGGAGGAAGAGGAGAAGGATGACGGGGAGGCGGAGGAGTGCGGGGAGGTGGAGGAGGAGGAGGAGGAGGAGGAGGAGGAGGAAGATGAAGAGGAGGACGAGGAGGAGCAGGACGAGGAGGAGGAGGCGGAGGAGGACGCGGAGGGGGAGAGGGAGGAGGAGCGTGACAGAGAGGGGGAGGGGGAGGGTGTCGATCTGCCGATCTAGGCGTCAGAATGCTTCTGCTTTATCCACAGCCGTTTTGGTTACAGGCCGTTGCCGAGGACCAGCAGGGTCCCAGGGCCTGGAGAGGCCCCACCTTTCTCCTACCTTCTATTCGAGAGCCCAATACCACACCACCTCCATTTCTGTGCACTTATCGCCCAGATTGTGCTGTGACGTGCTGCGCGGGACGAGACGTCGACGGACGTCTCGAGAGAGGGGACAGTTGAGTTGGCGGGAGCATTGCCGACTGCGAGATGGGAAGGGAGCTGCGTGTGAAGTTTCGCTTCACAGAGGGGGAGGGGGAGGAGGTGCGGGAAGAGGAGAGGAACACATCGTCTCGGGATGGGAATTCGGTCCTAGGGGGGGCGCCCTAGGGGCTTATGGCCCGAGTCACTCCTCAGCAAGCCACCCCAACTCTAGCCAACAGCCCCAATTTGCCGTTCATTCCCAGTTCCTCCACCTCCGCCTCCGCCTCCGCTTCCTCCTCCTCCGCTTCCTCCTCCTCCGCCTCCTCATCCTATTTCTCCTTCTCCTCTCAGCCACTCGTCAGAACCACCCCAACCACGCAGGCCCGTCGGTGAACATTGAAACAACACGTGTGGATCACGGGTCGGGTGGGGGTGGTTTGGTAGGTAGTCACTGCTTTCTTCAGGACCCGCGTGGTTCATGGCAGCCTCAGCTCTCTGATCGCCCCCCACAGCCAGGATGTGGATCGAAGGAAAGACCACTCGGGTTCGTGAGGGGCTCTGGCTTTCGGGCCGTTCCCTGGGTCCATGTCGAGGAACCCGAGGCGCGCCGTGGCCAGAGAGGCCCCTATCGTTCCTTCCCGAGCGTTCCGTGTGGTAGCTCGGCGACTCCGGGCCGCCCGCTGCACGGGCGGTCAGGGATACAGCGCGCCACGCCTCTCGCGGTTCTGGGCTGGAGGGTGGCCCGGGCGCGGAGATGCGCGCGTGTCGTTTGGCGAAGCGCGACGCCAGGTGACCGAGGCCGTACACGTTCCCAGCTGTGCAGGACTCCAGGACACGTGCATGCAGCCCAGGCGCTGAACTACCATCGGACCGAGGCGTACACCTTAGGCGATGCTTAAGAAAACCTAAGTTTTCGTCCAGAGTCTCGATTATTCTTAACTTTCCAATGTAAATCCCAAGATGTTGATAGAAGTTCTGGGTTTTATTCAATTTCTGAGACTGAGAATTTCTTAACCCATGATTTCTTGAGCATTTCGCAGGGTGTACGTATCGAGGTCGGTTCGGGGAGGGTAACCCCAGTGTTCGTCGGGCTCGTGGGACGCTCTCGTGCACCCTGGGGGGGGTGCCATTGGATGTTCTCTGTGTGTGTGTTTGCGTTGGTCGACGGAGGGCCCCGTGTTTTCCAAGGAGGGGGAGGGGGGAGGAGGAGGGAGGAGGAGGAGGAGGGAGGAGGAGGAGGAGGAGGAGGAGGAGGAGGAGGAGGAGGGCGAAGGAGGAGGGCGGAGGAGGAGGAGGAGGAGGAGGAGGAGGAGGAGGGCGGAGGAGGAGGAGGAGGGGCCCGACTGTAAGGAGCGGCTTGGATTCAGGGGGGGCTACGGTGGTCGGGCCGCTCCGTGGGCTCAGATCGAGAGGCGAGTCGCTGGCCGAGTCTCGCCGGGGCGCCGAAAAGTCTCGTTGCCTCCTCAGCGCCTCCCATGGCAGCACGATGGCCTCATGCACTCAGTCTCTCTCCCTCTCTCTCTCTTTCCCTCGCTTTTTGTTGTTCTCTCTCACTCTCATGCTCTCTCTTTCTGCCTCTCTCTTTCTCTCTTTCTCTCTCTCTCTCGCTTTCCCTCTCTTTCTCTCTCTCTCTCTCTCTTTCTCTTTTTCGCTGCTACCCCCTTCGTGGACGGGCCTGTCATCTGCACCTGTGCTCTCGTGCTCTGTCGCCTCGTCCTCGGCCTGCCGGGGCCGTCGGTGGCCGTCGTGGCGTGCCACAGCGGGCAGCACGGCGGGCCCGCCGCCCTGCCCGGGGGTAATTAGCCTCTCGGGGGAGACGCCACGAGAAGTGCGGGCCGTCGCGGAGTTTCGCCGCCCTTCAGGAGGGGAGAAGCACACAGGCACAATTCAGGAGGAAAAGAAACACACAGACACAATTAATCCTCGATCCCCCAGAAAATATAGGAAAATATGGGAAGTGGGGGAGAAGACAAAAACCCAGAAAATATTAGAAAATATGGGGAATCTTTTTATTTGTGTGTATTTATTTGTGTGTTTGTGGGCCCCTTCAACAATGAAGCGTCGGCTCCCCCAACACATATGGGAAACTGTGGGGAGTGGGGGGGAAGACAACAAACCCTGAAAATCAGGGAACTATGGGGAGTCCTGTTGTCTGTCTCTCGAGGGAAACGCCACGAGACGTCCGGGCCGTCGAGCAGTTTCGCCGACCTTCAGGAGGGGAAAAGCACACAGGCACAACAAGGGGCACGCGTGCCAAGGATCATACCATCGCGGATGCGAGACAGACAGCACATGGCCTCAGGATGGCCCCAGGCGGCCAAAGACCACCCCGAGGGGCCTCCAAGACGGATGTGGTACACTTTTGGACTGCTTGCTGCTGCGCCTCCCTCAGCAAGGCAACTCGCCTGGCGGCTGCTTTGGGATGGGCTGGTTGGGATACGTGAAGCGCAGGAGGGGAAAAGCACAAGCACAATTAAGCGTCGACTCCCCCAACAACTATGGGAAACTGTGGGAAGTGGGGGGGAAGACAAAACCCTGAAAATATAGGGAAACATGGGGAATCCTGTTAGTTGTGTCTCTTCATTCGTGTGTCCCAGGGCCCCTTCAGACCTGCCGCATGACATTGTGCTCTGCGCGTTTCCCCGCCCCCGACTACGTCTGGTGGAACATGTGTGCGAGAACAGTGCCGAGAAGCCTGTGCCGACCTACAGCAAGTTCTGGAGCCGAGCCGTGGTTCGTTTTTTTGTAGTTTCGTTTTTCTTTGTATATACATGTGTATATATGTGTGTATATATATATATATTCAAAGTAACGCAGAGGCATCACTTTGGGACGTGCTGGAATACGCGTGGCAGTCTCGTGTTGTCTAAGGACCTTCGGCCCACCCCGTCACCGTGCTGGGGTTGTGGGTCAGAGTTCTCAGGGATGCCTCTCTGGGTCTCTTCGGAGCGCCCTCGGGGTCCTCTTGGGGGCAGCTTTGGGGTCTCCTGGGAGCCTCCCGGCTGCCTCCTGGGGGGCCTCTTGGGGCCTCTTCTTGGGCCCCTCTTTGGGCCTCTTGGGCGGCTCTTGGGGCCTCTCGGGGGCCGGGGAACCCTCTGCAGAGAGGGGCGTCCAGGGGGGCCCCGGGGCCAGGGATCCAGGGGTGCCGTTTAATGTTGGGGGGGGTCGCAGGGTCTTAGTTTGTTGAAATATAGAAAAATGGTGTGTGTGTGTATATATACATATGTATGTACATATACATATACATATGGTATGTAGATATGTATGTAGTCAGACCCGCGCAGTATGGATAAGCATTGTTTCCTAGGTGACCCTTGCTTCCTTACATTTTGCTTTGCGCTCTCAGATTTCGAATCTTCGAGAATCGTGAGGATGGCCTTTCAAGGCCCTCGCGTTCTTATCGCGCATCCTTACCACAATTACGGGTGGACTGTACATGCGGAAGCCCAGCCCTGGAACCTTTGAAGCCGCAGACCACCAGGGGCACCGAGGGCACGTATATGGTGGAATTGTGATGGTTGGCGGTGGACCTCGCCTCTGAGCCGGCGGCGGCGAGCGCATCTTCGGAGCGTTTGTCCTTCTTCACTCTGCGTTCGCAAAGGTCGCGCATGCTGGGGCTCCTGCCTCCTTCGTACTTTCCCCCCTCCACCTTTTCTCCTCCAGAGCCCCTCGCCAACAAAAACGGCTGGCATATTGCCCGACAGAAGTTTGCGAGGGTTGCCTGGAAACCGCCTCAGTCCTGCCCTGCTCGATTCCTTCTTCTTGCGCGTTTACGAAACGGCTTCGTTTGTCGGTGTGCCTGCACTGGGGGTGGCTGCTGTGCGTTCGGACGAAAGTTGTTCTTAACTATCCTTGTGCTGTGTGCCTGTGAGACCTCGTTCGCATTCATTCATTAAGATTATGCGTTATTATAGTTATTCAGATTATGATTCTTCATTGTTCTAATTATGCAGTTATTGATTATGCTGGCGTTGTCGCATTCATTGATATGTCGCATTCATTGTCGCATTCATTCAGATTCTGCACTATTCTAGCTACTGCGGCGGCTCCGCATCCTGCCGTCGGAGAAGAGTCCTGGGGGCGACAGGGCGCAAACGTGTGATCGCCATCGCTCTTCAGGGCCGCTGGGCCGCGCAAGTACAGAAAACAACCGCCCCCAGCGAACGCCCGCGGCGGCCTCGACTGCCGCAGGCCGGGCGCCCTCTTGCCATGGAGGCTTTTTTTTGCATGTCGCTGGAGCTGGGCCGCTAACGTCGCCCGTCCGTTCTGCTGGCACAGCCCGCCGGGTGCCCCGAGTCTGAGGCACGACGGAGCGGCGCTCCCCCGATCGGGGGGCCCTCGCGGGTCGACCTGGCTCGAGCAGCCCTGCGGAAACCCAGGGTCGGGAGCCACAGCCGCGTAAGCCCGGGGCCGCGGAAACCCGTCGGAAGCCCGGGGTCCTCGCTGCCGTCGTGCCCTCTCCGCTCCGCGCACGTCGCATCTCCGAGGGGTCGTGGGTGCCTCACGCCCTTGGCTCCGTCGGGAGCCGAGAGGCACCGCCACCGCGCTCCCCAGACCTCTGCCGAGGTGCGTTCTGACCAGGGTTTCGAGGAGAATCCAGCCGTTCACCACCCACCAAACCACCACAACCCAACTCGAAGGCCCCAGTTTGCCCTCCATTTCCAGTGGGGGGCGGGGTCGGGGAACGTGGAAAAAACACACGTTTGGAACCCGCACCCCCCCCAGACCCGAAAGTGGGGTCTTCGGGTTGGGTCGGGGTGGTCTTGTAGGCAGTCAGGTGGCGACGAGGGCCCTCCAGGACGATCAGCGGCATCGGCACCTTCTCCTCCTCCTCGGATGCACACTCCCCGCGTGGGCGGGAGGGGAGGCGGCCGCCTCAGGCGTGCTCCTGCGGAGGCCCCCGCAGGGATTCTGCAGAGGCTACCCCCACTGGGTTTCCGGTGACGAGCCCCAGAGGGGTGCCCACACTTCCACCTCCCAGGGAGGAGGAGGAGAAGGAGGAGGAGGCGGAGGAGGAGGAGGAGGAGGAGGAGGAGGAAGGTGGAGGAGGAGGAGGGGGAGAAGGAGGAGGGGAGGAGGAGGAGGAGGAGGAGGAGGAGGAGCGGCGAAGGAGGAGGGCGGGGAGGGAGGAGGAGGAGGAGGAGGAGGAGGAGGAGGAGGAGGAGGAGGAGGAGGGCGGAGGAGGAGGAGGAGGAGGAGGAGGAGGAGGAGGAGGAGGAGGAGGACGGAGGAGGAGGAGGGGCCCCAGAGGGGTGCCCACGCTGCCACATCCCAGGAGCCGTCCAGAGCGACTTCTGTTCCCCTGGCTGCCCCCCGTGCCCCACTGTCACGCCCCCCCCCCGATCCCGGGGGGGGGGCGACGGCACCGTCCCGCTACAGGGGGATTTTTGGGGGGACAAATTAGAAATACCCACAAGTAACCCCAAATGCTCAGACATAGTAAAAAAATTAGTCCCCTGACTATTCTTTTACTATTTTTGAATATTCCCCCTGTAGAGGGACAGGCCCGACTTGACTCTATTCACCGGCATCGGCCAGGGTCAGCTGGAAGCGGGGCGCGGCGATTCGATGCCGATCCGATTCGGTACGACTGCCGATCCGATTCGGTACGACTCGCTGGCGATGCGATCCTCTCTGGAACCGATCCGATCTCGCGATCCGGTCCAGCGCAGACCTGGCAGCGCCTGCGCGGGCGTGCACGGTTGAGCGCCGCCGGTGGCCTGGCAGCGGCCGTTGTGAAGCGATGCGCGCCAGAAGACAGAGAGCCGCGGTCGTTCCAGGTTGCACGGTTTGCGCGGGGTCCGCGGGCAATGCCGACGTCGTCGGGATCCGGACCCGCGGTACAGTCGGGCCGAGGTGTAAGGTCGAGGTCGGTTCGGGGAGGGCACCCTGATGTCATTCGTGCTCGTTGGATGTTACTGTGCAGCCTGGGGAGGGTACCCTTGGATGGTCTGTCAGTGTGGTGTCTGGTTGTCGTTCCGTGCGGGGCTCACACGGGTGGCCTTGCATCCCCGCGTGCGCACGGCAGGCTGTGGACGTTGCGTAAGGGGGGGGCGGTGGATGGGGGGGAGACAGTGTACCTTTCGTGCCACTTTTTGGGTCCCTTCACTGCCGCTTCGGGCTTCAGGGCAGAACATGTGCACCTTTCTCCCCTCATATATCGCCACCCCATACGCAGCGCCCGAAGGATGCGCAGGAGGAGGATAAGGATGAGCAGGGATAGCAGTATAAGCAGGGAGGAGGATGAAGGAGTAGGGATGCGGCGGGTGCGCGAACGAGGGAGGAGGGGGGAGCACGAGGAGAAATTCTAGAAGAGGAGGAGGAGAGGAGGAGGAGCAGGAGGACGGAGAAGGTGGAGGAGGACGGGAAGGCTAGGATTGGAGGATGACGGAGGAACCGAGGAGGAGAATAATGAGGAGGAGGGATGCAAGTGCGTAGGCAGGAGAAGGAAAGACGAGGATGGAGGGAGCTGGATGAGGAGCGCCAGAAAGGGAGAGTGAGAGGCAACGCAGGGATGAGGGAGTACGTAAAGAAGGAGGGGTGACGGATGAGAGAGGAGGGTGGATGGAGGATGAGCAGAGAGGATGAGTAATGCCCTCTTGCGCAGGAGGCGCAGCGGCAGGAGCAGGATGATGATAGGGGAAGAGGAGCACGATGACGAGGAGGAGGACGAGGACGAGGATGATCAGGGTTGCCCCCTCTCCTCACAACCCCTCTTCTTTCTTGCCTACCCCCCTCTCCTCATCATCCTCCTTGCTCTTCCATCCTTCTCACCCTCGCTCTTCCTCCTCTCTGCTCCTGCCTCCTCCCCCCCTGCCTCCTTCCTCTTCCCTCGTCCAATTTCGTCCTTCTTCACCCGCTTCCTCCGCCGCTCCTTCCTCCCTCTCCCTCTCCGCCCCCTCCCTCTGATCCCATCCTCTCCTCTGACGCGGGGTCGAGACGGGGGGATCAGAGGGAGGGGATGGAGAAGGAGGGGATGGGGAGGTGGAGAAGAAGGATGTACTCAATAGGACGAGGAGGAGAGAAGAGGTATGCAGTAGGGAGGGAGGAAGGATGGTGAGGGGGAAGGGGGTAGTGAGGGAGAGAGATAGGGGGGGGGAGGAGGAGTAGTGAGGGTCAGACTGAGGGGGCGTGGGGACCCCCGCCGCCTCCCTTTCTTATCCGATGTTTCTCCTCGTCTTCATCCTCCTCGTCCGCCCTCCGTCATCCCTCCTCCCCCTCTCATCCCTCCTCTCTGCTCCTCGGGAGGAGGGAGGGAGAGGAGAACAAAGATGAGCGAGGAAAGGAGGGATGTGGAGGCAGAGGAGGACGCCAGAGGAGCAGGGAGGACGAAGGAAGAAGGCTTTTTTGATTGCAGGGCCGTTGAAGCATGCAGCCTGTTGACGAGAGGTGACAGTGCAACTGGTATACTACTAACGTCTGCACGGGTGCCAAAGGAAGATGACCCTCGCAGGAGGAAGGAGGGAGGAGAGACGAGTGAGGAGCAGAAGGGAGAGGAGGAGGAGGCTGAGGGAGGAGGACTAGAGCGGAGGACCGATGAAGAGGCGACAGAGGAGGACGAGAAGGAGGCGAAGGGAGGGAGGGATGGAGGAGGAGGAGGAGGAGGGCAGACCTGGAGAGGGAGAGAGAGTGAGAGAGAGAGAGACAAAAAAAATAAAAAAAGAGAAACCGAGAGACTCAACCAGCCGATGTCCCAATATAATAGGACGGGGCCCGCGGATGCCCCGACCCCTTGCCGAGAACCGGCTTGGCCCTTCTGGGCCGTCGCCTGACGGCCCAGTGCCTGGCGAGGGGCATCGGAGTTCTGAGGGATGGACATCAGCGGTGAGAGAGAGAGAGAGAGCGAGAGGGAGGAAGAGGGAGAGAGAGAGAGAGAGAGCATGTGGGAGTAGGATATACTTATGGATCTCTATATATATACACACATATATACACATTATCATACGCACCTCTCCGAGCGAGTAGAGCTCAGAGGCGATTAATGCATACGCGGGGCGCCGCGTCCGCGATTTGTCTGGCCGTTTCGCTAGGGACATCCTCGAAATTCTGAACATCAGTGGCACCCCTCTCGCAGATCGTGACGTCAGGGTCCAAAAACACATCAAAACCACATGGTAATTCCTATAGTTTTGACCCCGATTCTCAGAGAATGGCGGTTTCGCCTGAAACATCCTCCCAAAATCGAGCCCCGACGTACCCTCTGGTACCCCAGACCCCGCCTCGGAGCCTCCTGGGGGCCTCCTGGAACCTCCTGGGGCATCCTTGGGCTTTCTGAACCTTCCGGTACCCCAGACCCCGCCTCGGAGCCTCCTGGGGGTCTCCTGAAACCTCCTGGGGCCTCCTACGGCCTCCTGGAGCCTCTTGGGGCCTCCTGAAGCCTCCTGGGGTCTCCTGGGGCCTCCTGAGGCCGCCTGGGGCCTCCTGGGGCCTCAGAACTACATGCACACACAGAGACACGAATCACGCCCAACACATCACACGCTAGACAAACATAATAATACACACAACACCTACAACGCACAAAAAAACACGCACAACACAGAGCACATATCACACACACACAACACTCACAATCCTGGGGCCTCCTGGAGCCTTTTCTGGTATCCAAGTCGGGCCTCCTGAGGCTTCCTGGGGGGCTCCGGTACACACATCGCAAGGTGTGGCAACCCCACTTGCGCTCGAGTGCGACTTCGCTGTTGCATTTCACTCCTGCTTCAAACGCCCCTTCAGTTTTTTTTGTATGAGCCTGGGCACACACGTGCCACTTGCATACATATATAGAGAGAGAACAAACAAAAAACAAAAGCAAGAGAGGGAGGGAGTGGGAGTGAGAGAGACAGAGACACACATATATGTAGATATAGAAAGAAAGAACGAGGAGGAGGAAGAGAGAGAAAGAGAGAGGGAGAGAGAGCACGTGGGAGTGGTATATGTAAATAGGAAGGAGAGACAGAGAGAGAGAGAGACAGATAACGATATATATATAGAGAGAGAGAGAGAGAAGGAGAGAGATGGAGAGAGACAGAGAGAGAGGAGCAATCAAGCACACAGAGATAATTGAAACCAGACAAAGGAGAGGAGCTGAGCGAGGGGAGGGGAGGGGAGGGGAGGGGAGGGGAGAGGAGAATTTAGGAAACAAGTGAAGATGGCCAAGACGTGCGGAGTGGAGTGAAGCGGAGCGGACAGGGAGGGAGAGAGAGAGAGCGAGAGTGATCGTGAGGGGGGGAGCGAGGAAGAGGAGGGGGGGGAAGGAAGGAAGAACGAGCAGAGGAGAAGTCAGGAGTGGAGGGGTAGGGGGCAGGAAGGGAGGGGAGGTGGAGTGGAGTGCGGAGGACACAGAGAGAGCGAGACGGAGGGAGAGAGAGCGAGAGAGGGCCGGCTCACCCCCGCGAGGTCCCGCGAGCCGCTGCTCGGCAACGGCACCGTGCAGGAGGTCCGCCTTCGGCCGCGCGAGCTGCGCTGCGCCTCACAAACAGCTCCGATGCAGACGGCTTCGCCCGCCTGCACCGAGCGCGTTCCACTGCTCGCAGAGTGCCTGCTCGCAAACGCCCGAAAACACAGGTCTGCTTCGATGTAGCTCATTGTATATATATCCCCCGCGGCGCATCCAGGCCATTTGCGAGTAGTCACTTTGCGAGTAGTGGAACGCGCTCGTCTACCGCCTGTAGCATCCGAGCCAGGAGATGGGTTCGGCTAGGGACTTTGAGACTGTGGTGCTTTTCGTTCTGCCTGCGCCCCCCCCCCCAAAAAAAAAAGCCTGTGGTGTTTGTGGCGGACATGGTCGATGTCGTTGCATACCCCATGCGCTAGCTGTGGCACCTTCGCGGGCCCCTCTCGGTGAGTGCACCTCCTCCTCCTCGTCCTCCCCATCCCTCGTCCTCTCTTCCCCCTCGTTATCCTCCCCTCTCCCTCCTCCCCCCCTGCTGACAGTCCTCCTGCCTCCGCCCCCTTCCTCGCGCCTCCTCCCTCGGCCTCGTCGCCCTCTTCGTCCCCGCGCTCCGCACCCATGTTCTCCTCAGCCTCCGCCCCCTCGTTATCCTCCCTCGTTATCCTCCCTTCTCCCTCCTCCCCCCTGCCGACAATCCTCGTGCCTCCGCCCCCTTCCTCGCGCCTCCTCCCTCGGCCTCGTCGCCCTCTTCAGTCCCCGCGCCCCGCAACCCGAGGCCATGCTCTCCTCAGCCCCCCCCGTCCTCCCCGCAGCAGTCGAGGGAGGCCCTCCGTGGCGGAGGCGCACCGTGGCTCGGAAAAGCACTTCCCGCGTCACCGTCGGCCTCCTCGGCGACTTAATACCTCCTCCTCCTCCCCCTCCCCCTCATCCTACTCCGCCCCCTCTCCTCCTCCTCATCCGCATCATCCTCCGCCGCCGCCTTCCTCTTACTCCTCAGACGGAATCCTCCGTACAGAATACTCATCAGCCTCTACTCCTCATCCTCTCCTCATCCTACCTACGCCTCTCCTCCTCCTCCTCCCCCCCCCCCCCTCCTCCTCCCCTCCTCCTCCTCAATCATCCTCCTCCTCCTCTTCTCCCGCCTCTCCTCCTCCCCCTCATTCCTCCTCATCCTCCTCCTCCTCCTTCCTCCTCCTCCCCCTCCTCCTGCCTCCTCCTACTCCCCCTCACTCCTCCCTCCTCCTCCTCATTTCCTCCTCCTCCTCCTCCGATCACCTCCTCCCCCCTTCACCATCACCCCTCCCCATCCCCCTCCCCCTCCCCCCCCTACCACTCCCCTCCCCCTCCCCCGCCTCCTCTGCCTGCCCTCGCATCTGGCAGGCCGTCACGTCCAGGGAGAGCAGCCTCTGCTTGACGCTTTCAGGGGCTCTTTTGTCTTTAGGCCTCCGGAGCCGCCCTCGTCGCCCTGGCTGGAGTGGCCTCGACATCCTGTCTCGGCAAGGATGCGATAGGAAGCATGTCCGGGACCCCGACTCTGAGGGGAGGCCTATGGCAGCGGTGGATGAGCGGTTTTCAAGCATTGTTGGTTGTTCCCGGAGGTTTTAGGCTTTGCCCTGGGGAGCGTTCCAGCAGCATTGGGCATTGGGGGAACAACCTAGGGCAAGCAGGCCAACTATGCCTGACGTAAGGCTGAGTAGCACCAATCAGTGCAAAGCCAATGCCAAGCAATGCCAAGCAACGCTTCCAAACAACGCAAGGCCAACAGCCTGAGCTAAGTCACCCCAAGCAATGCCAAGCACTGCCAAGCAACGATTCCAGACAATGCCAAGCAACGCCAAGCAATGCCAGTCAACGATTCGACTAGGGGCCAAGCAACGCCAAGCACGGCAAAGCCAGCGCAAAGCAACTTTTCCCAACACGGCAAAGCCACTACCAAGCAACCCACACAACGCCAAGCACTGCCAAGCAACGATTACAATCAATGCCAAGCAACGCCAAGCAATGCCAATCAACTATCTGACGCAACGCCAAGCAATCCCAAGCGATGCGAAGCAAAATGCCAAGCAGTGCCAAGCAACGAGTCCAGGCAGTGCCAAGTTACACCAAGCAGCGCCGAGAAAGTGGGCCTCCAGAGGTCTCGGAGGTGGATAGACCTCCTACCCTGAAGCGTCGATGAAGGAATTGGCCGTTTTCGGTTCGCGAGAGGGCGTCGCGGCCGTCATTTTTTTGCGGGTCCAGGTCCGTCGGTTTCGGTCCCAGGCCGTTTTCGCTAAGGGGAGGTTTACCCTGACCTTCCAGGAGGGCTAAAAAATAGCACCCGACTTAAAAACCTATCCCAAAGCTATTCTACGTCTTGGTTTTAGGCTGTTTCGCTAAGCTTTTTAGGTTTTTAGGTCTCCAGTGCTAAAAAATAGCTCTCTGGAAGGTCAGGGTACTAAAGGGAGGCTTGTCCACCGCCGAAAGTCGACTCTTCAGCCGCTCCCCCACTCCCGGCCCTTGCGGGCTCGGGGCGTGAGCAGCGGCAGGGATGCTGTCAACGACTTGGGCTTCGCGCGTCGCAGCGCCGGCCCTCGCGCGACGACGCGCCGCACCCTCGAGAAGGCTCGTGGCGTGCCGCCCTCCCCGAGGTTGCCTGCGAGGCGAAAAGCACGCCGTCGCTCCGAGGCCCCGGAAGCTCTGCCGATGCTCGCCAGTCGTGCCGCGCCGGCGTGCGGTGGGACCGGGCGCAGGCGGCGCGGCAGGCCGTGCATCACCACCCACCAAACCACCCCAACCCAACCCGAAGGCTCAGATTTACCCTCGATTTCTAGTGGGGGGGGGGGTGGGAAACATCGAAAAAACACGCGTGGAACCCTTACCCCCCCCCAACCCGAAATTCGGGTCTTCGGGTTGGGTTGGGGTGGTCTGGTAGGTAGTCAGTGCAGCGTGCGTCACGCCGTCGCCCGTGGCGCGGCGCTCGCCCTCCGGGAGGCTCTCGAGCCTTCGGGGGGCGGGCCTCCACCCCTCAGGGTGGGGGACGCACACCGACACAGTCAGGCGTCGCTTCCCAGCAGGATCTGGGGCGCCGGGGGGGGGGGAAGAGGAGAGCCCAGCAGATGAGGAAAGATGCGGGGAAGCCTGGGAATGTTGTGTCTCAGAGCCCCGAATCATCAGGGGTAACTCGGGTCAGGGTTAACTCGGGTTCGTTTTTCGGGAATCCGAACCCGAGTTACCCCGGACCCGAGTTACCCCGGATAATTCGGGCGTCCAGAGCCCCAAAATCATCAGGGGTAACTCGGGTCAGGGCTAACTCGGGTTCGTTTTTCGGGAACCCAAACCCGAGTTACCCCGGACCCGAGTTACCCCGGATAACTCGGGCGCCCAAGTGTCTGTCTATTGTTTGTGTGCTCCTGGGCCCCTTTAGAATCCCACGAGCGGCGCAGGTGTCCGTGTATGCGTGCCTTCGCGATCCTGGCCTCCGTGGCGCGATCCCTCCGCACCGCGGTCGCGCACCAGCGTTGCGCGCGAGTGGCATCTTCGAGACAGCGCCCCGCATCCGCGGGATCGCGGCCCCGCGGCCCGGCCCAGGAGGCCGCGGAGACGGACGCGTGTTTCTCGCTCAGGGATGGGCGACGGGGGCCCGACGGAGGCGTCGCCGCGCAGAGGCACGGCCCGCCTGGGCGGCCAGCTCTCGAGCGGTCCCACAGGCCCCCCAGCTTCCGCACGGGGCGCCGCCAACCTCTCTGGACGCCCGAAGTTCCAGGCCTCCCGGATTCGACCGGACGTAAGAGTGACCTTTCGCCGGAGTGACCTTTGGTGCGGGCACAGATGGGCCCCCAGATGGCCGACCGCGAAGCGGTAGCAGCGGCTCGCGCGCCTGGATTTGGCCTCCCCGCGGTCCCCAAAGAGCTGCGCACCAAAGGTCACTCTTACCCAGGATCACTCTTACGCGTAGCCGACAGATGGGGTCGGAGGGTCGCGCCGTATCGTCGGTGCATCGGCGATGCGGCTCGATGTGGAGCCCGATTTTCTCCACGTCGGCGCCGCCGATTCGTCGCCGACGTCGACGGTGCGTCGGCGGTGCATCGGCGATGCGTCGCCGATGCATCGCCGATGCATCGTGGATGCACCTGCGATCTGGCGCGGTCCTCCGACCCCATCTACTCGGACCCAATTTGGGCGGCCTCCAGAAATGGGTACGGGAAAAATTCGGCACGATGCCCAACAACGAATGGGCGACGCAGAAAAACGGGGTCGTCATCACCGATGTTCGCGCGTCAGCTGCTCGCGGCGTAAGGGGTGCGCGTGAGCGCCCTCGCTTCCAATGGTAGCGTGCCGCGCTGGCTGCCCGCGTAAGCCATCGCGTAGGGCCGCTGTATGCGCTGACGTGAGATCCGTTTCGCCTCGTCGCTCCGAGGTGGTCCCCGAATGGGCAGGATCCGCGGCTGGCCAGGCGGCCTCCTGTCTCACGGCCGCTCTGTCGCCACCCACCGCCGCTCCCCGTGGAGGTCCCTCCCAGGGGGCTCGGCCCACTATAGGGGTGGCCTCTCCGACCTCTGGCAAGCCACCCCGCTCCGTGACCTCCCCCTCGCCTCGCCCCACGACGTCGGCATGCGGCCCGAGGGAGGCTTGGAAGGTCGGTTGGGCTGCGCCCGAGCCCAGGGCCGTCCTCCGAGCGGCCCTCACGGCTGTGCCCGAGCTGCGGCCCGCCCGGGGCCGGCGCAGGAGGTTGCCCTCGCGGCGCTCGGAGGCGCGTCCGGGGCTCGCTCTCGCCGCGGGTCGCCGGAGGGGGAGGCGCCGTGGGAGGAGGGCGGGGGGCTCTGTCGGCCCCTCGATGGCTTCGGGAGCGGAAAAAGAGGGGGGTGATGACTAGGGGGGGGATTTCATGGCGCGGGCCATGATTTCTCCTCAGAGATTTCATGGCGCCTCTTCTTCTTTCATTGCGTCCCAGGCCCCCCCGCTGGGCCGCGCACGTGCCGCCGGTCATGATCTGCACCCCCCCCCCTCTTGGACACCCCCCTCTTGGCCGCTCCCGATGGCTGGCCCGGGCGGGTCGTGACTTTGCGGGGCGGCCGCTCTCGGAGCGCGACTATGTGGCTGCTGCCGGGAGTGCAGGGCAGCTTCGGGTCGTGCCGACCAGGCGGCGACGCCGCCGCGGGGGTTGACCGCCGCCAGGGGCCCAGAGTCGTCCAGCATGAGGCAGCCCTGCGAGGAAAGAGTCGCGGATCGGGGAAGGGTAAGACTCGAGTACGCCTCTAGGCCTCCTAGATGGGGTCCGAGTAGATGGGGTCGGAGGATCGCGCCGCATCGTCGATGCATCGGCGATACGGCTCGATGTGTAGCCCGATCTTCTCCACGCTGGCATCGCCGATGCACCACGATGAATCGCCGATGCATCGGCGATGTATTGCCGATGTATCGGCGATGCGGCGCGATCCTCCGACCCCATCTACTCCGACCCCATCTAGGAGGCCTCTAACGCCGGAGCTCGGGTTTGCCGACGTTTTTTTGTAACGTGCGCGTCCAGCATTTGGGGTGCCGTTTTCGTGGGACGTCTGCAGCGGGAGCTCGCGAACAAATGCAGAGTTGGTCCCGTCTTTTTCATGGTGGCCCCGTCGGGCCAAGCCGAGTCCCCCGTGCCCGAGTCTTACGTCTCCCCGGGCGGATCAGTCAAGAATGAGGGATCCACCGTGTCAGAAAACACCGCCAGCGCCGTCACGGCATGAGCCCGTCGCAGATGCAGCGGCGCCGCTGCCGTCGGTGGCGACGTCTGACGCCTCCAGGTCGTAGGCGCGCTTGCGGTTACTGTGCGGTCAGAGGGCACGCCCCCAGGTGAATTTCAGCAACTGCTCGATCATCCCGGACCGGTTGTACCACCTGTCCGTCTACATTGAGGACTCGAACGGCAACAACGACGGCGTGCTGTCTTTGCCCGTCGACACGCGGCTGGACTTCTCGAACGCCTACCAGGTCGGCGCCCCCCTCTTTCCCGCAGGGGTGTGCGGCGGCGGATGCGAGTCAAGGGAGGAAAACCACCCGGACAGGACAACTGGCGTTTACCAAACGGCCCTGGGCGTTTATGAAAGAGCCCTGCCCTGTTCGATTCCTTCTCTGGGCGCGTTTACGAAGCGGCTTGGCGCGTCGGTGCGGCTCTTCTCGGGGTGGATGTGTGTTTGCCCTCTTAGCACGGGCAGGAGGCGGGCGCCTGACAGGTCGATGCCCGCGTCTGCAAAGTGACGAACGAACAGCACACACACCCCTACCCACAGGGAGGCCGTTGGGAGGAAGACTGGCTATGGGTATGGGTGCGGGCTGTCGGACCCTGGGGAGCGCTCCCGCTCGAGCGGGGACCCCCATCCGACAACACGCACCCATAGCTCAGGAGGGAAAGAAACACACAGACACAATTAATCGTCGATTCCCAGGAAAATATGGGAAAATATGGGAATTGGTGGGGAAGACAAAAACCCAGAAAATATTGGAAAATATGGGGGATATTTTTATTTGTGTGTATTTATTTGTGTGTTCCAGTTCCCCTTCAATAGCCCTCCCCGACCCCCCTATGGGTATGGGTGTGTGTGTGTGTGTTGTTGGCTCGTCATCACACGGCATGCTTCCGAGCTCTGCGCTGCGCCCTCGCAACCCTGCGCGCCAGCGCTCCCGGGCCACCCCTGGGGCCCTCGCGAGGGGGCCCCGCGGGTCGCGGGCGCCCCTCGGGGCCCCGTACGGGGCGTTCCGGGGTCCTTCGCGGGGCGGGAGCGGTCCTGGGCCCCAGCTCTTTTGGCGCACGCCCTGAGGCCAACAGAAGGCACGAAATGACGTGGGGAGGCACACGCGCCAGGCCCCTCACCGCCCACCAAACCACCCCAACTCAACCCGAAGGCCCCGATTTGCCCTCCATTTCTCCATTTCCAGGGGGGGGGGAGTCCGGCAGACATCGAAAAACATATATGAAGCCCGTAGCCCCCCCCCAACCCGAAATTCGGGCAAAGTTCGGGTTTGGGGTGGTCTGGTAGGTAATCAGCCCCGAGAGCGCCCAACAGCGCCCCGGGATTCTGGATCTCCGCCAAAATCGGGGGACGGGGACCATTTAGAGAGCAGTCACGGGAGGCTCCCACCACTCGCGCTTGGTCAAGATGTGGTCGGGAGGCGAGAAGATTATGTACACATCCATGCCATGCCGCCGCGCGGATTCCGCTGGCATGTTATTCCGTCGTCGTTGTCCGTACACTGCGTGTGTTTCTCCAACAGTACCACGCTGATGGATTCCCCACAGCGGCGTTTGATTGATACCAGGGCGCTCAGATCGTTTAGTCGATCACTATGCCGTGACATGCACTGAAGACGAAGTTAAGTGTCGAAGTACGTTTTGCATACAGTCAGTGAAGATTTTGTTAGAGGATCACTGGTTTTTCTGGTTCATCTGAGCGTGGATGGCAGTCAGCCAGGATTTGGACATTCACATTGGCTACGTCTCGTCTCATAGCGCCCGACCTTGACAGACTATGTGCTCTTGTGTACATGTTTGCTACTTGCTTTCACCATCTTGTTGCTTAAACTTGTTATTGAGAGTGTACCGCCGGGTAAAACAAACTGCTCTGAGGACTCCCCTGTGGCTGTGGTGTATGACCTTGTCTCAGACTGGTTTGACGTTGAATTTGGGACAACTGCAGACGGACTTGCCTGGGGCGCTCTCTTCGGGTCCGAGGACGACGCGGCCTCCATGACAGTGTCGCAGTTCCGCAATACGTATTACCCTGAAACACAGGATCCGTGCACGCTGTCCGGCTCCACAGTTGTGGGGTTGAATCGGTCGACGCTGAGATTTTCGAATTGCGGGCTGAATTATACTCAGACGTATTCAGCTGCCTGCGGCAAACTCATCACTGTGCCAGCGCAGCAGTGCTACATGGATGTGGGACAGCCCAGTGCCGTTTCTGAGTTGGTACAGGTCGTAAGCACCGCCCCTGTCCTCTGCATTACTCACCTCCTCATTTCTTTTCATTATTGAAGGCATTCCTGGGTGGCTCTTTTTCGGGGTCTTCTTCAGGGCCTCTTGGTGACTTGTTGTGTGCTTCGCGGGGGCGCGTCGATGGTATTTTATCAAGGCCATCTTGGGCGGGATTTTTCGTTGACTTCTTTCGGAGGTGTCGAGGCGGGTATCGGGGATCTCTTGGCGCTGGATTTTTGGGCCGTCCTAGGGCGCTCTCGTTGTTGTCTTTGGGTATTTGTGGGGTCGCTGCCAACTTCGGCTTCGGGATTCTCGACTGCGGCAAAACGGGCCCCTGCGGACGGCTGGCGACGCCGCCGCCGCTGCTCCGCGGGGCCGGGGCGCTGGGGAAGGCTGGCCTGCGGCAGTGTGCGTGGCTTGCGGCAATCTGGCCTGCGGCCCGTTGGCCTTCGAGAGCCCCCCACGTGCCCTCACCCCGCCTGGGGCGGTCTGGAATTTGACAGTTTTCTAGATGTGGCGCCGCCGCCTTCGTCGGCGTCGTCGATGTCCAGATCTGCCGCTTCTTCCTTCCACTCCCTCTCCCTGCCTTCCCCCCGCCCCCGCGCCCCCACCTCGTCGTCCCCCTGCTCATCCTACTCCCCCCCCTCCCTTCTCCTGCTCCTGGGGATTTTTCCGACGACTCGCGGTTGCCTTGTGGTCTGTTGTGGGGTCGCTGTCAACTTCGGCTTCGGGATTTCTCGACTGCGGCAACACTGGCCCCGCGAGCGCCGCCGCCGCCGCCGTTGCTCCCCGGGGCCGGGGCGCTGGGACAAGCTGGCCTGCGGCACTGTGCGTGGGTGCGGCAATCTGGCCTGCGGCCCGTTAGCGTTCGAGAGCTCCCACGTGCCCTCGCCCCGCCCGGGGTGGTCTGGAATGCGACAATGAAAAAATACATGAAGGCGCCGCCGCCGCCTTCGTCGGCGTCGTCGCTGTCCAGATATGCCGCCTCTTCCTTCACGTCCCTCTTCCCTGCCCCCCCCCCTCGCCCCCGTCCCCCGCCTCTTCATCCCCCTGTTCATCCCACTTGCCCTCTCCCTTCTCCTGCTCCTCACGCTCTTTCTTTTCCTCTTTCTCCGACTCCTCCTGCTCGTCCTCGTCGTTCCTGTCGGCGTCGCGTCGTCGTCCTCCTCGACCTCGCGGTCTCCGTCGTCGGCCTCGTTCCCTCCCTCCGTCGTCATTTTCGTCGTCGCCCTCGTCGCTGTTCTTGTCGTCGTCGCGATGCTCGTCGTCGTCGTTGTCCCTACCTCCTCCTCCTTTTCTTCCGTCACCATCCCTCCCCGTCCACGTTTGTCCAATAGGTGTGGATCCGTCGTAGTCGAGTCGAAAAGGAAGCTTCCTCTTCTTCTCCCGTTCTATTTCCCCTCCCTTTCTATTTTCTTTCGCCGGGCCGCTATTCGAAAATATGTTTCTCTCGCCCTGGCGCCGCGCGCATTCGCCCTTAGCGCGGTCGTTGGAATGATGGCTTGTAGTCTCTGTATCGCTTAACCAATCCCCATCCCAATCCCCACCCCCGCTACGACCCCCGCCAATTTACCCCCCCTGTTGGGGATACGCCCCTCGAAACTTGAAAGGGGACGACCTACATCCCCATGTGGGGGGGGGGGTAGTCGGCCAGTGGTGCTTAGGCCACGCCGCTGGGAATGGGGATCGGTTTAACGACATTCACATTCGCCCGTGAACACAGTTGTGGCAATGGTGGGTTGCGCGTCGGAATCGTTTTCAACGTGAGTTATATATAGCCTCGGTGCCGCGCTCGCTCGTTTTAACGATTTCCAAAAAACTGGGGGGGGGGGGCTCTGTTTCTAAGTGGGATCCGCTTGATATTTGATCATCAAATGTTACGGCAAGTAGTGCAAAGTGTACGTGGTTGGAGGGCGGTCTTGTTTCGAATTGATGTTCTCCGTTGGGATGTCTTTCGATGTGTCACGACGTGGCACACCTGTGGAACAGCTGCACGGATGGAGCGCGTTTTTTTTCCAAGTGGGGTTGTCTTTGAGCAGTTTATTGGATGTTATGACCGCGCCTTGTCGCAGTCCCTGTAGTTCGAAGAATGGCAGTTTTTCCCAGGGGTCTCCTGCACGAGCTGCGGGCTCATGGCGCGCTCAGGTTCCAGGGGAGGCGATTCCCGCGGTGATCAAAAGAGCTTGCAGGGTGCTGGGACGTGAGGGTACGCTGCAGCGTTTTTGGCACATTGGGTTTAGTCTTGTCGTCGCATGCCCCTCGTCATCGTCCTGCGCCTTCTTCTTTGCGTCCCGTTCCCCTTCCTCCTCTTTCGCAGGTCGCTGTGTCACGTGTAGAGTCTGGCTTGCTGTTGGGCGCGCGTGAAGCGCTCGCAAGTTGCTGGGGTTCTGACAGGGTTTGGCTCCCAGCGCCACAGACTCGTCGCAAGCACGTTGCCGTGCCCTCAGGCTCGTTGTGGTGTTCGTAAGCAGCTGAAAGGGCTCACAATGATACCGGTTTGTTCACATTCATGTTGCGGCGCGCCCAATTAATTGTTGCTTTCGCAAGTTCCACCATACTGTTGCGAACAGTTGCGGTACCCTTGTGGTGCTCGCGTGGTATTGCGATGTGTGATGGCAGGTTCTTCCGCTCGCAAAGTGTAATGACATTGGCAGGGTCCGTCATGTCGTTGCGCACGCTGGCATTCGAAATGGCGTTCTGGCATAATTTGTTTTTCGCCTTCCCATCGCCAAGCCGTCGCAATCACAGGCGGTGCTCGGTGCGGGCATACTCGGTGCGCCCAGGCATCACGACAGACTTGTAACTCAAGGCGCTATTGCACGCGAGCGCTGCCGTGGTGCTGGGTGCACAGTGTGGGCGGGGGGTACGCTATGAACGCACCGTCGCCCACCCATAGCCCAGAACAGAACGCCCTTGACGACGACGACTGGATATATTTCATGACACCGAAACGCAACCTCCAGCCGCCCCTGGGAGTGACCATCCCCGATATGAACGCAGCTTTGCTGAGGCCCTGGGGTGTCCATCGTAGCAGTGTCGTGCAGCTTGCCAAAGTCACTTCGGCGTGTAATCACGCAGTTGTCGCACTCGTTCTGCGCCGCTGGGGGTACTTCGCAGAGGGGCGTCCTGCGGGCATCCACGCGGGACCTCGGCGTCCCTGGCATCTGCCGTCCTCGTGGCTGTCCCCGCTTTGTTGTGCCACTAGAGGGGGTCCAGCGGAGCGGTGGCCTACGCTGATCCCAGCGGGTCTTCGGCGTGCAGGAATGGCCATTTTCGCAAATGTCGCCGTTTTGCTGCGCCCCTGAGAGGCCCAACGGAGTCAACGGAGTGCTGCCCTACTGGAAACCGGCGAGGACTATAGCATCCCTGGGAACTGCCGTTCTCGCAGCTGCCGCGACTGTGTTGCGCCCCTGTGGGTCCAACGGGGAGACGTATCTGGTTTTCATGACCTGTATTGCCTCTGTGTTTGGGTTGTTGGCTCGCTGCTGCTTGCTACTGTTGTTGTTCATCGTCGTCGTTTCCGTTTCCTACTGTTGGGCCGGCCGTGCAGAGAGGGCTTGGGGAGGCGAGGTCTGGGAGGAAGACGATCGCCTTTCTTCTTCATGTGCCATGTTTTCGCTGAGCAGCGAGGGGAAGCTGCAAACACGTTGTTACATCAGTGGCACATGATTTCCGGTTCCTCGTCTGCCGTTGTCGTCCTTCTGTCGTTGTCGTCCGTCTGTTTTCCCCATTGCTTCGGATGCAACTCCTGGGAGGTCAAATTCTGATTTTGCCCTGGTCCGAAATCTGGCTTAATCCCGCTGAATCCCGCTTCATCCAGCTTAATCCCGGCTGTTCCCGCTTAGTCCGGCTGAATCCGAGGCCCAACAGCCCCCCAATGGGGCTTAATTCTTTTTAGTCCTTCCGACGAAGACCTCCCAGTGGTTGCCCCTTAACACTGTTCCCCTGTCCTTCGCCATGTCCTCGCACGGACCCTCTGCGGGGGCGTGCCGTGCCGCACACGAGTTCCCCGTGCAGCCTTCCACGGGAGACCCCGCGTGCCCCTCCAGAGGCTCGTTCAATTTTTGCACGAAGCCAGGATCGGTTGGGTGCAGCTGGCACGAGTTCTGGCAGGGGTGTTCGGATGCAATCCCTGGGAGGTCAAATTCTGATTCTGCCCTGGTCCGAAATCTTGCTCAATCCCTGTTAATTCGGCTTCATCCAGCTTAATCCCGTCTATTCCCGCTTAGTCCGGCTGAATCCGAGGCCCCTCCGGCGCAACAGCCCCCCAATGGGGTTGAATCCTTTTGAATCCTTCCGACGAAGACCCCCCAGTGGCTGCCTCGTAACAGCTGGCACGAGTTCTGGCAGGGATGGGCCCCAACGCTGGTTTGGTGATTTCGCGGGCCGTTTCCGTTTCGACTCCGTTTTGCCGCAAAGGCGGATCGAAAACAGAACGCGGCAAAACGAAGACAGCACGAAAACAATAAGCATTGGTATTTGGATACGTACTTTTGTTTCACTCGTACTTTAGTTTTCCACCTTGGACGGTTTTTCGTTTTGGGCATCTCCGTGGAGACATGGGCCTCCGGCGAGGGGGCTCATATCCCACCGGGCTGCATTCTTGTGGCCATGGTTTCGACCAGAAGTCCTGGGCAATTCAAATGTTTTCGGCCTCCTTGGGGCCGCGTTGGAGGCTTCTGTGAGTGACTCTTCGGTGGAGCCTGACAGGGCTCGTTTCGATTCCCCCGATTCCGATTCGATTCGACTTCGGATTCCGATATGGTTCCCGATTTCTCAATGGAGGTATACGAGCCTGCCGATTTCCGCCGATTCTACTTTTCCCAACTTGGCTGCCGATATCAGCCGATCCGATTCACGCCGATCGCCGATCCATGTCTGGGCACCCGGGGGCATCTCGTAACCTCTGGGGGGTCGCTGGGCAGTCCTGGGCTGGTTTTCGTGCATCGTGTGCGGATGCCCTCGGGGCAGTCTCGGGCCGTGTTGGAAGCTGCTTTGAAGGGCAGCATGGGCCCCACTACAAAAATGACGTCCGACAGGCGCTCCAGCGCCCCGTCGTGCCGACGGCACGGTGGCGGATTGGGTTCTCATCTACGTCGAAGGCCCTGGCCTGCATGAGGATGGGTTGCTGTCTCTCCCCGTACCACTCACCGTTGGGCCTTCGAACGCTCTCTTGCCGTCCCCGTACTTTTTCTCTTTGCTGCCGACGACCTTCACAGTGATGGCGTCCGCGGAGCGCGACGGGCTCCTGTGGGCGGTGGTGCTGCACGAGAGCGACTCCATCGGGGTCGACGTTTTGTCAATCAAGGCAGGCCTGAACGGGAACGGGGGGGCCGGCTGCCGTATCGCCAGCGCGTCGATCGACCAGACCGTGCAGCCTTTCAATTTCACGGAGTGCAAGCTCGACGTGTACACCACATATTATGTGTTTCTGTACGTTGAAGCCGCCGGGGGTGGCTCGCCGGACGACGGTTCTATTTATGAACCGCTCTCTATCCACCTGACTCCATCGAACGACTTCTATTGGGGACCTCACATTGTCGGCAGCCCCACTACGCAGGGCTTCAAGTACAAGTTTATCCCCACCGCGAGCGGCCGTGTCTGGGGGTACCTCGCTAGCAACACCAACGATGCCTTGATAGACAAGTTCAATGCCCCGGAGTTGGCCTATTCAGCCACGGCAGTCAGTGACTGCTTCAATGACGGGGTAGACATCGTGTCGGGGACAGAGTTCCTGGCTGATCTTAGCTTGTGTACGCTGCTGCGTGGCCACCTCTATCATCTGTACGTCTACATTGAGGATAATAACGGTCTTTACGATGGTACGCTCGTGAAATTGCCAGTCATCGTGGAAGGGCAGACGATTTTGACGAACCAGTTTGTCCAAAGGCCCTACCTCACCAGCGTGGCTGACATTAACGGCTTGACAATGGCCTTCATGGCTCAGGCAAATGGCCTCGCATGGGCTGGCGTGATCGAAGAGTCCTTATTGCAGGAGCTGACGGAGTCGCAGCTGGTTGATGGCGTCTATTCGGACCCGATGACCATCACAATCGACGACTTGAAGGCTGGGAACAACTTGTCGGGAATCAGCACGTGCCGGTTCGGTCCCGAGACTATATTGAAGAACTATTTGTACGAGTGGGAGTTCAGAAATTGTTTCTTGTTCCAGAACGTGCGATACTTCGCTTTCGTCTACGTCTCTAGCGACGATGTGCTGGACTCTGGCGGCCGCATGTCGCAGGGCGTTCTAGCGATCCCCATGTATTCGAACACCTTCTTGGACGGCCCGAGCATAACGTATGGCCCACACGGAGATGGCCTCACGTTCACGTTTACGGCGAATCACACCGACTGCCGGCTTTGGGCGGCGATCGTGCTTGCCAGCGAGGCTCACGAGATGAACATCACTGCGATCAAGTTCGGCGTCGGGGCCGTTGGTAACGACACGTGCCTGCGAAGCGGCGACGACCAAGGGCAGCTGCACAACACGGTGGCTTTGAGCGGCTGCGGCCTGGACGTTAACGTCAGCTACGTGTTGTTCGTCTATGTGGAGGACAGCCTCGGCGCTGGCGACGGGCACCTCTCCAGTGGTATCCCCGTGGGCGTGCCCGTGTCGAACTCGTTCTGGCGAACGCCCGTGTTGGAGGGCGCCCCGAACATTTTCGAGGGCCTCACCCTGGCCTTCGAGGCCACCTCCCCAGGCATGGCCTGGGTTCTGGTAGTGGAGGACATGTACGCCTCGGGCATCGCCCGGATGAACTTCAAGTCCATGATGAGCATGTCGTTGGACCGCGCGCACTGCTCGATCTCAGGCCTGAACATCAGTGCCGCGCTGGAGGTGGTGGAGCTGCGCAACTGCCCAATCAGAGCCATGTCCATGTTTCAGGCCTTCGTGTACGTGGAGGACTTCGCGGGCCGCGGGGACGGCCAGCTCTCCGAGCCGGTGCTGGTGGACGTCGGGCCGTCGAACTCGTTCGCCAGGGAGCCGGTGCGGACTGTGGAGCCCACAACCGACTACGTGCAGCTCCAGTTCACCGCCAGCTGGCCCGGGAAGGCGTGGGTGCTCGTGTCCCCGCTGTCGGAGGGCACGCCCAGCCCGGAGCAGGCGAAGACGGGGGAGTTCGCGGTGGGCGGCGCGGGTTGCCGCGTGAGTGGGCGTGACGTCGCGCAGGGCGTGCTCGAAGTGGTGGATCTGAGCGAGTGCGGCATGCTGGCCGCAACACTGTACGCCGCCTTCGTCTACGTGGAGGATTCGGCCGGCAACACCGACGGCAGCGTCTCGCGACCAGTGTCCCTGATGATCGACAAGACGAACACGTTCACGCGCGGCCTCGACCCCGTCGCCGTGGACCTGTACAACCTGACCGTTCGGTTCGCCGCCGCGCAGCCTGCGGGCGTCGCGTGGGCCATGGTTGCAGACGCGGCCGTCGACATCACGCCAATGGACGTGCGAGGGCTAAACGGCGCCCTCGGCGGCGCCTCCTGCAGACTCGAGGGGGTCGGTATCGGCGACGCCACAGTGACACTGGACCTCCACGGCTGCGGGATGGCCCTCGGGTCGAGCTACCTGATGTACGTGTACGTCGAGGGCCAGGGCGCCGGGGTCGGCAGCGGCGCGCTGTCGGGGCCCATGTTCCTGACCTTCTCCGAGCAGAGCTGCTCGCCTTCCGGTTCCAGCGTGGGCGACAGCGGCCTCAACGCTTCTGCCGACGACCTCTCCTCGAACAGCTTCGCGACTCCCGTCAGGGTGTACAGCACGCCCCTGCTCAGCGAGCTCGAGCTCGCCTTCACCCCCAGGCAGCCAGGCTACGCCTGGGGCGCGGTCGTGCCTGCTGGGAGCGCTGGGCTCGTGAACGCCGCGGCACTCAAGAACGGCCTGACCATCGAGGGCCACGTGCCCTGCTGGGTGGCGGGGGCGCCCGTGTCCAACGCCTCCGTCCAGACCCTGAGCTTCCGGGGCTGCGCGCTGCAGGCTGGAGTGCGCGTCGATGCGTTCGACTTCACCAGGTATCAGGCTGTTGTCTACGTCGAGGGCGCGAACTACTCGGGAGACGGGAGCCTCTCGGAGCCAGTGGAGGTCGGTGTCATCGGGGCCCTGTCGAACTGGTTCCTCGACAGCACCGTCCGCCTGAGCCCTCCGTCTCCGGAGGGCGTCGCCTTCGCCTTCCGCGCGGCGAAGCCGGAGGGCAGGATGTGGGCCATGGTGACGAGGTTCCTCCACGGCGTGGACGTCGAGACGGTGCAGGACTTTTGGTTGCTTCCCCCCTCCCGCTGCCAAGGGGACGAGGAGGGAGGAGGAGGAGGAGGAGGGAGGCAAGGGGAGGCAAGGGAAGGAAAAGGTAGGAGGAAGGAGGCAAGGGAGGACACAAAGGGGAGGAGGGAGGGACCAGGTCCCGCCCGGCTCCCGAAGGCCCCCAGAGTGGCGAGGGCCCTGCTGGCCGCACGCGGCCGCGCGATGCTCCCGTCCACCCTGAGATCTGGCTGTCGCAGACTTTTGTGTTTCCACTCGGCGCTTTCGCCCGGCCTTGGGCCCAACGTCCAGCGGGATCCATGCCACGGAAGCACGGGGTCTCCGGCTCTGGCGGTATTTGTTGTCGCGATCTACAGTGCGTTTGCCTCGCGGCGTCGGGCCTCAGGGTATCGCGCGGGGGCTTTGAGGAGCACCGCAGAGGTTCGCGGAGGCCCAGGGCCCCCACGGTTTCGGAGGCGATCGGGGCAGCCAGCTTTCCGCCTCGCTCGTCCTTCGGAGGCCGCTCTTGGGCCGGGGGACCATCAGACGCACGCGCACGTTTTGGGCGTCGCGGCCACGCGGGCAGCGACGCTGCTCTTCCGGGCGCTCTGGTGGCCTCGAGGCCGCCAAGTCGGCCAGGGATCGGGGCAGCCCAGCAAGACACACGGGGCTCGGGGAGTCGTGCCGTGAGGGCGTCCCATCGGGGGGGAAGCCCAGAGAGGAGACGAGCGAGGAACCTGCGTATATATCAAGAAGGGGAGCGAACGCGGGGTAGAGAGACAGCGAGGCAGCGCAGGAGGTCGCATAGACACGGCCAGTGGCGGACCACGGCGGGTGGACCAGCACGGTGTAACGAGGAGGACTGATCTACAGGCGGGATCAAGGGATCAAGGGATCTAATTACGCGCGCGCACGAACACACACACACACACTCACACACACGCAACCACACACGCACACCCACACACACACCCACACACACAAACACACACACACACACACATCCATCCATCCATCCATCCATCCATCCATCCATCCATCCATACATACATACATACATACATACATACATACATACATACAAACATACATACATGCATGCATGCATGCATGCATGCATACATACATACATACATACATACATACACACACATACATACACATACACACATACACACATACATACATACATCCATACATACATACACACATACACACATACATACAAACATACATACATACATCCATACATACATACATACATCAATGCATCCATACATCCATGCATCCATGCATCCATGCATCCATGCATACATATATCCAGGCATGCATGTATACATTCATACATTCATACATACATACATACGTACGTACGTACGTACGTACGTACGTACGCACATACATACATACACACACACGCGCACGCGGACACGCGGACACGCACACACACAACCGCACACGCGCACACGCGCACACACACACACACGCGCGTGCGCACACGCACACGCACACGCTCACGCGCACGCGCACGCGCACGCGCACGCGCACGCGCACACGCACACGCACGCGCACGCGCACACGCATTCTTGCATTCGGACACCACCACGCGCACGCGCACGCACACGCACACACCCGCACACACCCACACACACACATCTATACACCTACACACCACACTCACCACACACACACCACAAACACCACACACACCACACACCACACACACACACCACAAACACCACACACACCACAGACAGCACACACACACACGCACACCACGCACACCACTCTCACACACACCGCACACACACACACACAACACACACACACACCGCACACACGCACACACATGCACACACACACAAACACACTCGCACCACACGCACCACGCACACACACCACTCACATGCACACACACACACTTGCTCTCCCACACATGCACACACGCACTTGGCGTCGCGGCCACGCGCGCGGCGGCGCGGCGTTCAACAGGCCAAGCGCGCGCGCACACGGGCTGCTCACGCGGCGTGGAGAAGCTAAATCCACCACCCATCGTGGATCGGCAGCAAAACTTACGAGGGGGAAGCCGCGAGGAGAGACGGACGGGGGACAGACCAGAGGGGAAGGCGCCGCCGCGCCGCCCGACGTTGTCCTTAGAGGCCTCCGCAGGTCAGCCTCGATATCCTCTTCGACCTTCAGTCTTGACCCCCGACCTTCGACCCTCGAGCTTCGAGCCTTGACCCCCGACCCTCGAGCCTCGACCCTCGACCCTCGACCCTCGACCCTCGAGCCTCGACCCTCGACCCTCGAGCCTCGAGCCTCGAGCCTCGAGCCTCGACCCCCGACCCTCGGCCCTCGGCCCTCGAGCCTCGACCCTCGAGCCTCGAGCCTCGAGCCTCGACCCTCCACCCTGGACCCTCGACCCCCGACCCTCGACCCCCGACCCGCGAGCCTCGAGCCTCGACCCGCGAGCCTCGCCCGTCGAGCCTGGATCCTCGACCCCCGACCCGAGGGGAACGGGGGAGAAAAGGGCGGGACAAAACGACTGCAGGGCGAGCAAGCCTGGTTCGTCGTCGCCGCCGTGGGTCGTCGTCGCCGTTGTCGTCGTCGTTTTTGTCGTGGCCGCCGCCGTCGCCGTCGTCGTCTTCGTCGTTGTCGTCGACGGATGACGGGAGCCTGGACCGACCGAGCCGGCCCTGGGAGTGGTCGAGGGCCCCGGCTCGACTACCATGAGAGTGGCCCTTCGTCAGAGCGACATTTGGTTCGCGCCCTTCTGGGGCCTCCCGATCGCCGAGTGCGGTGCGATAGGAGCGTCCTTGCGCGCTTGTGTGTTGACCTCCCCGCGGCCCCCACAAAGCCCCGCCCCAATAGGTCACTCTTACCAGGGCGTCACTCCTGTGGCGGCGCACGTCCAGGCCCCCCAGATGGGGTCCGAGCAGATGGGGTCGGAGGATCGCGCCGCATCGCCGATGCATCGGCGATGCGGTTCGATGTGGAGCCAGGATTTCCACACGCTGATTGCGCCGATGCGTCGCCAACGTCACCGGCGCATCGCGCCCTCATCGCCAGCGCATAGCCGATGCACTGGCGATGCGGCGCGATCCATCCTCCGACCCCATCCTCCGACCCCAAGCCTTGAGGCGGCGGTCAGTGCACATGGGGGTCAGCCAGAGCGCCAGATTGTGCAGGATCCTGCCGGGCCAGGGGCGCACGGACCCGGGCCAGGGCGAAGGAACTTGCAGGATCCCGTAGGATATTGCATGATCCTGCAAGGCCTCACTGACCCGGGTTTGGTTTGACCCGGGTCAGTAGAGCCCCGAGGGCTACGTCGGCACACGCCACGAGATGACGTGACGTCGGAGGGCGGGACCATGTGTGAGATGGAGAGAGCGGGACCGTCTGCGCAGACAGTGGCGCGCCAGCTGCCCGCGTATAGGGTCGCGCCGCTTCGGTGCAGCGTGCCGCGCGACGGCGGACCGCGTGAGCCGCCGCGTGAGGTCGCCGTGGCACCTCGCGCAGGCCCTGCTCCGAGTCCTCCGTCCCTGCCTCCCGTGGCCCGCCCGTGGCCAGCTCTCGGCACAGCCTCGCCCGGCTCTGCCCGCCCTCGCCTGCTTGGCCCCCAGGGCCTCGCGCCCTGGCTCGCAGGGGCCGGGGCCGGGCGCGCTGCTGGCGCTCCTTCCGGCCCCGGCCCCCGGCTCCGCAGTTTGTTCTCCAGCAGCTCTCTCGTCGTTTCGTTTTCGTTTTTTTTTTTTTTTTTTTTTTTTTTGTTTTCTCTCTCTCTCTCTCTCCCTCTGTCTCTGTCTCCTTTTCCCTGCCTCCTCGCTGTATCCTCCTCGGACTTCCCGGGCAGTTCCTGCCTCTCTTCCTCGCCCTGCTCCTCCTCACTCTGATGTCCCATGGCCCCTTCTGCATACCCATACACTCTCTGACATTCCCAACGGCTTCCCCCCCTCCCACGACTTCTCAGAATCATCAGCAGCATCAGCATCAGCATCAGCATCAGCATCATCATCATCATCATCATCATCATCATCATCATCACCATCACCATGATCACCATCATCATCATCATCATCATCATCATCATCATCAGAACACTCATGATCACAATCATTATCATCATCGTAATCATACTCATCATCTTAATCAGCATCACCATCATCAGCATCATCATCGTCATCATTATCCATGTCATTATCATCATCAGCAGCATCATCATCAGCATCATCACCATTATTTCTGTGACCCCTGGCGTAAGGAGACTTCAATCCTCAAATGTGATTGGCTTTCGACTGAACTATTCATTTCGGACCCAACTAGGGGACATACGATGGGGTGTGGCCGTCGGAGCTACGAAAAGAGAGCCCCCCCGCACTCGAGGCTTCGTTGCCGTGGTTACGCCCGTCGGGGTCTTTCTGCATTGGCCAAGGTCTCGCTTGGTGTCTCGCCTATTGCAGGTTGGCTGTCAGGTGATTCCTGGTTTGCCTAGTGCATATGCTTGGGCACGTTTGGTGTGTTTGCGAGAAAAACAACGCACTCGAGGCAAGCCGAAGCGCAGTCGGCGGCGACGCGTGCCGCATCCAGAGCAGGGCCATAGACAACAACTGGTTCGAGGCTTGTGGTTGCGTGCGCCTTGTTTGTCCTGCCGCTCTCGTCGTCGCCGTCGTCGGCACCGCGTCGCCACATAATTCGGCATCCTGTCTGCTGCCGCTCCTCCTCATCCTCCTCTTACCTTCGCCGTCTTCCTGCGTTTGGTTTCTACGACGAGCAGAGGAGGAACAGCGGCGGCGGCAGAGGGGAAGGAGAAGCATCAGCAGTAGCGTGGTCGGAAGGTTCCGAAAAAGCAGTGGGATACGGCGAGACAGGTTGGGAGTACGAGCCGACGTCGGGGTAGGCTGAGGGCATGAGGGAGAAGGAGCAGATGGGTGACGAGGAGGAGCACGGATGGATGAGGAGGAAGGCCAGGGTCAGAGCAGTGGCGAGCGCAGGAGACGGAGCACGACGAGGAGGGTGGAGAAGGCGGGGAGGAGGTGGAGTGGACGTGGACAACAAGGAGGAGAGGAGGAGAAAGAGCACATTACTCGTGGCCTTCGGTCCAGCACGTGCCGGGATTGTGGATGAGAGATCACATGGATGCCCCCTGTGGGTCCCTTGGGAGGCCTCTCGGAGGCCTCTTGGAAGGCCGTTGGGGGCCCGAAGGGGGGCTTTTCGAGGGGCCTCTGGGGAGTCATAGCAGGGACGAGGACGACGCGCAGGGCGAGGACAACGTGGAGGACGAGGATAACGTGGAGGACAAGGTGGAGGACAACGTGGAGGAGGAGGAGGAGGAGGAGGAGGAGGAGGAGGAGGAGGAGGCGGAGGAGGCGGAGGAGGAGGAGGAGGAGGAGGAGGAGGAGGCGGAGGAGGCGGAGGATCCGTCCCGACGAACTCGGCGCTCGCGAGCTCGCGAGTGCCTCCGGGGGCGCGCCGGGGCTCGCGCGCGCCGTCCCGCGCACCAGAAGGGGGCACCCCGCCCGCGCTGCTGGAGCAGAGCTCTCTCCCCTCGTCCCCGCCCGGCCCCCCGCTTCCCCGCAGAGATCCCGGGGGGTCGGGGCCCTCGGGGGCGGCCAAGAGGGGGGCGATGACCAGGAGGGGGTGGACAGCATGGCGCTGGCCATGATATATTTCCTCAGATTTCGTGGCACCTCCTCTCATTTCATATCACGTCTCTGGCCCCCCCCCTGGGCCGCGCACATGCCGCCGGCCATGACTTGCGCCCCCCCCCCCCCCCCTCTTGGGCACGCCCCCCTCGTGGCCGCCCCGGAGGCCCGAGAGAGGGGGGCCCATGCACGCGGGCATCCGTCGGAGCGCCAGATCTTACAGGATCCTGCCGGGCCGGGGGCGCATGGGCCCGGGCTCGCGCGTGCAGGAGCCTGGAGCCTGCAGGAACCGGCAGGAGCCTGCAATTGCCTCACCGCCCCGGGCCTGGATGGGCCCGGGCCAGTAGATCCCCGAAGGCTGCGCCGGCACACGCCACGAGGTGGCGGGACGTCGGATCCGGCGGAGCCCGGGCTCTCTGGGGCGCGGGAGCCTTCAGGGAGCCTGCGGGATCTGGCAGCAGCCTGTCAGCAGGGCCTGGCTGACCCGGGCTCTGGATGTTGGCCCCGGGCCAGCACGCTCCCGGCCTGGGCAGCGCCTCTCCGCCGCGTCGGCCCCGGCCCTTGGCTGCCCGCGGCCTCCGTGCTCCTGGCGGCGGCGCCCCGGCCTCGCGCCCTCGCGGCTCTCCGAGCGCCCTCCGCGGGCCGCGCGGGCCCCTCCGGCCTCCCGGCTGCCCACGGGGTCCGAGCTTCGGCGGCGGCCTTGGTCTCCGCGAGGCTCCCGAGGTGGCGGCGGGCCGCCGGCGTGCTTCCAGTTCGCGGTCTGCTCTCATCTATGGGCCTCTCTAGATGGGGTCGGAGGACCGCGCCGCATCGCGGCTGCATCGCCGATGCGGCCCGATGTAGGGCCCGATTTTCTCCACGCCGACGTCGCCGGTGAATCGCCGACGTTGCCGGTGCATCGCCGATGCATCAGCGGTGCACCGCCGATGTATCGGCGATGCGGCGAGATCCTCCGACCCCATCTACTCCGGCCCCATCTGGGCGGCCTCTGGTGAGGCTCCCGAGGTGGTGGCGGGCCACCTGCGTGCTTCCAGCCCGCGGTCTGCTCTCTCATTCTCCTGGCCGTCCTGGCACGGGGGCGTTCCCTAGTTGCCTTGCCGTTGCAGTGTCTCTGGCTCGCGGTCTGTCTCAGCCTTTGGCCGCGTCGCCACGGAGGCGTCGCTCTGCTCATCTGCGGCCCCGTCGCGGCTTTCGCAATATCCTCCTGCGTCGGCGCTCGAATGTGATGCCTCTCCACCTCAGGAGCTTGTTTCCCGGTCTGGCCTTCCTCATCTTATCCGTTGTATGCTATGTGGACGCCGCTCTGCTCAGCGTGCAAAGGTATGACCCCTTCTCCGCATCCAGCCTTTGAAGTGGATGCGAGCAGCAAGCGGCGGCCCAGTGGAATGGCACTTCGCGTCCTGTTGACGGAGGCGGTCTTGGTAACATCTGGCAGCCGAAACCAGGCGGTCAACACGCTCAGCCCGGTGTCGTTGCCAGTGCTCTGGTTGCAGCACCTGTGCATCCAACCATACCCCGGTCGAGGTCGGGTTGAGGATCCGGGCCAGTGGTGGCCGCGACTTGCTGGGCCATGAAGCCCTTCTTCGGAATCCGCCTGGCTTAACGTCTCATCTGGTGAAGTCGGTTGTGTGTAGCATTCTGTACGTGCATGGCATGCGATGCCCGCTGCCTTGGCGTCTCACATCTTTCTCTGCTTCGCTCGCGCGCTTCGGCGCACTGCTCAGCGCAGCGCAGCGGAGCTGTGCCGACTGCTCGAGTAGGGGATCGACTACAGAATCGATGTGCCCCAGAATTGATTTTGACTGTCGAATTCACGGGCAATTCGTAGAACTCTCGCAGATGGAACTACGAATGGCTGACGCACTTCTGTCGGAGAACCGAAGTGGCAATCACTCTTGCGGGAAATCGATTCTGTAGCCGACACCCCAGTCGAGCAGTGCTCTTCAGGTCCCGCTCCTCTGCTGCCCCAGGCGGCCGCGCCCCCGCACGTCGCCGTCGCGCCCCCGCACGTCGCCGTCGCCGATCGGCGGCGCCCCGGGCGGCCTGCCTGCCGCAGGGGGCCCAGCGGACCCCCATCGCGGGAGGAGGCGCTCCCTGCGCCGGCCCGTGCCCGCGCCGCTCGAGCAGCCCTCGAGCGCTGCTCCTCCGCGGGGGAGCTCCTCGACCCTCATCCGCCCTGCCTTCCTCCGGCGATCGCAAGCATGGATCCAGGGGGCGTGGAACAGCGGCGGGTCCCGTTGCCACAGGAAATCCGGCTTTCCGCCGCCGAGGGAGGCCGCATCGGGCCGCATTGGGGGGAGGGCGCCTCCCCCGATCCATGTCTGCGCGCCCCCGACTTCCGCTGCCCTCCTCACCCTGCGGGCCCGGAAGTCTTCGCAGCGGCTGTCCTCGATGCATGTGCGTTTCCGGCGCCAGGCGGCTCCGGGAAAGCCAGATGCGTGAGTCGATCCGCTGACCCACCCTTGGCCCCCCGCCCTCTCAGCTCCCCCTGCCGTTCACCTTCAGGGAGGATCCTCGAGGGGGGCGCCCCCGGGCGCAGGAGGAGGGAGGAGCGAGGGACAGGGGAATGAAGATCAAGGAAGTGCGAACTTGGATCCACGCGCATGGAATTATCGACGTGTCTCGACTCCGTACACCTTAGGCGATGCTTAAGAAAACTTGAGTTTTCGGCCAGCGTCTCGATTATTCTTAACGTTTCAATGTAAATCTTAAGATTTTAGTAGAAATGTTGGGTTTTTATTCAAGTTCTGAGACTATGAATTTCTTAACCCATGATTTCTTAAGCATTTCGCAGGGTGTACACAATCGGCGCGCTCCGTCGCCAGATCAGGAGGCGTCGGCTTTACCGCTCGGAGGGTGCCCCTGGGCCTGGTGCCTGTCCGGGTCCGTGGATCTGGCGCCCGCTGGCCAGATCCACGGGTCCCCACTCCACGTCAGTGTGCGCCCGATGGGGGCGAGGAGGAGGAGGAGGATGAGGAGGAGGAGGAGAAGAGAAGAGAAGAGAAGAGAAGAGAAGAGAAGAGAAGGTAAGGAGGAGGAGGAGGAGGAGGAGGAGGAGGAGGAGGAGGAGGAGGGGGAGAAGGAGCTGCGCCCCCGTCGCGCCCCTCCCCCTTCCCCCCTTCCCGACGGCGCGCGGGGCCCTCTCCCCCCCCCCCCCGCACCCCCGCGGGGTGCGCCGGGGCGGCCTTTCTTCTCCTCCCGGGCGCGCACCTCGCGCACCGAGAATCTCCTCAGGGTGGAGGGCTCAGGGGGAGAGCCGTATGGGCGTTTGCACCTCGAGAATCCATCCGTCTTGTGATTGGCCTTTTGCAGGTTCAAGCCTGGAAGATCAATCGAGGCGGCACTTCAGATTTTATTTTTTGCCTGCCGCCCCCAGAAAAGGCTCGGGCTTCACGGGTTCCGGGGGCCCATGATCCGCAAGTTCGGGACGGCGAGCGCGGTTCGTTTTGACCCGCGGGCAGTTGGGCTCGCGTCTGTCGAAGCGCAAGGAAGCGGAGGAGGAGGAGGAGGAGGATAAGGAGGATAAGGAGGATAAGGAGGAGGAGGACGAAGATGGTGGATGACGGTGGATGAGGCGGAGGGGGGCCCCGCCCGCGCGGGTCAGGCCCAGCTGTCGGACTGCGGCTTCGAGCCGGGAGCCCTCGGGGCGGCGGCGGCGGAGGGGGCGGAGAGGAGAGGAGAGGCAGAGAGGGAGGGAGGGAGGGAAGGAGGGAGGGAGGAGGATGCGGAGGAAAGAGGAGGAGGAGGGGGAGGAGGAGGAGGGAAGGGGGAGGAGGAGGAAGGATGGAGCACAAAGCAGGAGAGAGGGAGGACAGAGCAGGAGGGAGGATGGAGGAGGAGGGAGGAGGGAGGAGGGAGGCGGGAGGAGGGAAGAGGGAGGAGCGAGGGAGGGAGGGAGGGAGGAGGAGGAGGATAAGGAGGGAGGGGAGAGAAAGAGCAGGAAGAGGAGGAGGAGGATAATTTGCGTGCGGCGAGGATCCCGTTGAGGGCCCTTCCCCTCGTCGCAGCGGCCAGGCTTGCCACGGAGCATTGGCCAGAGCGCGGCCTTAGAGAGTCCCAGGGAGGCGCGTGGCGTCGGGGAGGCCCTGGAGAGGCCCGGGGATCGTGTAAAACACAGCGTTTTGGAGCTCTGGATGCTGAGAGCGCTGCGTTTTGACACGTGTTCGCAGCATTCGACACCAAACACATTGGGAACACAATCATTTTCAATTGTCATTGATTTGTTTTGCGGGGGGGTCCTTTTGTTCCCTGGCTACCTCCAAGTATGCCTCGAAGCAGGGAATCAATGTGTAATCCGCCACAAGGAATTCGAATGAAATCCGCCACAACAAGAATCCGTTTGTAATCCGCCACAAATGGAGTCAAGTTGAATTTCGCCTCACAAGAAAATCATCCACATAAGGATTGTTTAGTAATCCGCCACGAAATGAATCAATTTGTTATCCGCTACAAACGAAATCATTGTTGTTATCCGCCACAGAAGGAATGCATGTGTAACGCGCCACAAACGAAAATTAGTCTGCAACCCGCCACAGAAGAAATCCACTTGCATTTCGCCACAAAACGAGTCTATGTATAATCCGCCACAAGATGAACACATGGGTCATCTGACACAACACGAGATCAACTTGCAATCTGCCACGAAAGAAACCAATGTGTAATTGCTAAATGAAGGAAACGAAGTCTACCCCGCCACAAAAAGGAAACAACTTGTAATCGCCCACAAAAGAAGTGAAATTGCAACCCGCTAAAAAAGAATCACGGCGTAATCCACCACACCAAATTTGTTGTACGGCGATACAATTGAAACCGAGGCGACGCGAAGGCGCTGTGCCCGCGAGAATCTCTGAAAGTTTTGATGAGGGGGAAGGTACGTGAATTGTTTTGCCATTTCGAAGAGGCCAGGGCAAGGACACATCAGGTTTCCATCTTGTTTGCTGAGGTGCATCGTTTCGGCGCGTCTCCATTTCAATGTAGGTTGTGCATGCTTCGCGAATGTAAGCGCCGACCGCTGCCCACGAACACTTCGCGAGGCCATGAATATTGGGAAAGTGTTTGCGTTTCCCACATGGATCCCGCAAACAAGTCCCTGAGTCGCTTGGCGCAAAACGCTCTTGTCGCATATGTCAGTTGTAACACCACGCTTGGCACTTTTCGAGGTTATGTGTTTGCTAAGATATGAGTTGGGGCGGCTTGTGGATGCTTTTTTGGGGTGCCTTGTTCGGGCGCTTTGACAATGCAATCGTTGGCTCGCTTTGAGCACACCGCTGTTTTCGTAGCCGCACATTTCAGTTTCACGTGCAACAGTTTGAGGATATCGTTTTTTCTTGCAAGTTGGTGTGGACGGTTTGCGGGTGCCTTTGGGGTGTCATTCGGGTGCTTTGCGGGTGCCTTGGCGGTGTCCATGGGGCCTTGGGTGGGGCTCCCTAAGGGCCACGAGCCGTGTGAGGGGTGTGCTAACATGGGTGGCGGCCACCGCGTGCGAATTGCGCCGCTGGGGCCTTGGGTGGAGCTCCCTGTGGGGCCACGAACCGCGTGAGGGGGCCACGCGCCGTGTGAGAGGTTTGCCGAAATCGATGGCACGGGCGCATCTGATGATGATGGTGGCGACGATGATGATGAAGAGGGGGAAGAGGATGAGGATGGGTAAGGAGGGAGAGAAGAGGGGGATGAGGAGGGGGAAGTGGAGGAGAGCAGATGAGAGGAGAGGAGGAACGCGGGGCGGTGCCGTTGTCTCTTCAAAACGAGGACCCAATACCACAGGATGGTTGCGAAGCAACACGAAGTTCTTTCGGCTTGCCATGCGAGAATCACAAAGCAACACAATGTTTTGTTAGGCTCCCAGCTGAAGAACCGAACACAAAACAACGCATTGTTTCTAGTTCTGGAGGGGAAATCCCAAACAAAGGGAAAAAGGAACACCCGTATAACAAACACCAATCCTTCGGGAGGTCTGGAGCAAGAGTCCTCCCAGGGTTTTGGCTTGGTTTCCCTTTTTTTGGTTTCGCGATGAAGCTCCAGGAAAACACACACAAAGTGTTTCTTGTTTTCCATGCGAAAGCCACAGAAAAAGGGGGCACAACATGTGTTCTTGGTTCCGAACTAGAGAAGCAGAATAGCTGAATGACAACTCGCAGCAACAAACCAATTCCTGGGGAGGTCTTGGGCAAGAGTCCCCCAGGGATTGTTTTTTTTGTGTGTGTTTTTTTTTTCGGCTTGTCTTTTTTTTGCCATGGAGAACCCAAAACACAAGTTTGTCGTTTCCCTGTGCACCACAACACTTTCCCTGTTGGTTCCCAGTTGAAGACAAAACCAAAACAAATTATTATGGTTCCGATGTGAACAGAAAACAAGGAACACCAGACAAGCAACCTTTGGAAACACAAGGCTCGCACCGACAAGCTTGCAGTGTATATCTTGGGGATGTGGCAGGGGCCCGGAGCATGCCAAATCCAAACACACACCCCGCCCTTCCCCCCCCCCCCCGACACCAACCTACACACACACAGACACCCCACCCCACCCCCACCCCGCCACACCCTCCTCATGATGTTGTTTTGATGTCGCCGTTTTTTTCCTCAGCCAGCTTGCTCTCAAGTCTGTGGCATCAGCGCTTTGCCAGATCCTGCCTGAAAGCTCACGGAAAGCTTAGATTGGCCAGTGCTCACAATTCCCGAGCAAACAGTTTCGCCCGATTCTCTGGTGTACCTGAAGATCGCGGCATCTCTTTCGAGGAATCCATACGAGCAACCTAATGTTGGTCAGCTAAAGGTAAATGCGCTCTTCGGAAGAGACGTTTCGGAGGGATCTCGGGACGTTCTTTGTGAAGCCACTCTTGTACAACAGCCAGTGGAATTTCTCGGGTTCGAGGCACCCTTTTTTGAGATTTTTCGGGGGTGGGGTCTGGTCTCGAACGCAGCTGGAACATGTATGTCTTGATCGATGCCGGTATCGTTTTTACATGTTATGTGTGCCTTGTATGGTAAAAATGGTGTTAAATCGTGGCGCATCATTGCGTTAACAACATTGACGAAATTATACTCACGCGTTCACAATATCAAAATGATTCTCGTGTGATTCATACTTGTAGAAATAAGTGCCATTATTATTCGTAGGTTCTGAACAAGCGTGCACTTTTTCAACTCTGCAATAAAAAAGGGACCTTTCAGAACATGTGCTATACAGAAGATGTAGACTGATCTGTTTGACGTCAACAGGCATGCGAGATCTCTTGCTCTTGGGGGAAGAGGCGTAACACAATATTTGGCATCAGATGCGAGGCGAGCGTGCGCTTTCGAAGAAGATGCTGGATAACATGAGAACGGTAGGACATCATATGCGATGCGAGTGCTTCGGCTCGCCCGACGCCAGCAGTTCCCAAGCAGCGCGCGTGCGTCGGCGCCTCCAGAGAGCGCCCCGGGAGAGACGAGCGAGGGCGCGAAGATGCGCGAAAATGTTACTCCGCAGTGCTGGTTCGTTTCTTTCTGAAAAGCGAGTCGCAGTCGGAATGTGGCATGGTGATGATCAGGTTTTTGCCGGTGCTCCCGTGCGTCCTCGACTCTTCGCCATGGGTGAAGCATCTTTATTTGGTTTCTCGCTCTGATAGAAAAAGCGAGTGCTGCATGATCGCATGTTTTGCGCTTCCTCCTTGGGCCTCGAGGGGGCACGCATGGCGGCGTGCAAGATCAATTTGGGCTCTCTACAAGTCCGCCGCGCGGCGGCGGCCCCGAAAGCGAAGCGAAAAAAGCAACCGGTCAGAGGGCGGCCCCCTGCCGGCGTCCACGCGCCCCTCCTCCGTGGCGCACGACGGGGAACAGCTGCCGGAAGAACGCGCGGAGAGCTCGGGCGAGAGGAAGTGCGCGCCAACCACAGCGCCCACGCCAGCGACGTCGACGCGGACGCTCGCGACCACGCCAGCGCAAGCGCAAGCGCGAGCGCCTGCGTCTACACCAGCACCCAGCGCCAGCGGCAGCGCGAGCGCCGAGGAGGGCGAGTGCCTAGGCGTTCGCGCTGCCTCCTCGCAGGCGACGACGATTCTCATCCTCTTCCTGGTCCAGCTCGCACTGTTGCTCTTACTGCCCCTCCCTTCTTCGTCTACAATTCCCCCCCCCCCTCCCCCGCGGCAGGCGCGGCCTCGCCGACAATGGGCGTCGACGAAATGACGCGAGAAAATGGTGGGCAGTTGTGCTTCGAATGAGAGGCGCGCCGCAACACAAATAACACTTAAACCCGCCGATCGTCGTTATTCCTGCAGCTTTCTCGAACGGGCCGCGGATCCACTTGGAGAACGTGTGCGAGCCGCCGAAGTGCTTCGTAGATGCGGCGCGGCCAGGAACAGACCGCGCGCGCCGCGGATATTCTTCGCAGCAGGAGGCAGCGTCTTCGCGCGAGTTGCGCTTCCTCTTGGGGATTTGGAGGAACGTGAAGATACGACGGAGGAGGCTGAAGAGGAAGAGGGTCGGGAGAAAAGAGGAAGGGAAACAGTTCGGTGAGTTATGACGGCGGGTTCCCGCCGTCGCACGTTGCGCACTCATTCATATTGAACCGGCGTAAACGCGAACGTTCATGCATCGATATTTTTTGGTGGTCGTTTGTTATATATATATATGTATATATATGTATATGTATGTCACCG